ATTAAGAAGTGAAATAGCAAAAAGCTTCAATTTGAGTAATTGTTGGATATGCGGGAGTCCGAGGGGATCCGAAAGGTGGCCATAGGTAGCCCAACCTGTCCAGCCCAAATGGTTACTGAGTAGCTTGAGTACAATGCACAATAGAACTAAGTTTTAGTCTAAAGAAAAGGTGACATAGAAAATATTGTACCCAGGGAAGGAGAACTATTTTTGTCACCAGGAATGGATTGTTACAGTTCACTGTATACCCCCTTAGAATTGTCAAAAGTACCAAGGAAAATGGAATCAAATGCACATGAAACTTAGAGATAATATTTAAGTAAAATATTCCTTCTACAAACCTTAGCATGTGGGATGCAAGACAACAAGTAAAGAAATTAGCAAAAAGGAAAACTTAAAAATTCTTTGTTCTTGACTTGCCAGAGGGACAACACCACTAGCAAAATCATGTAATAAGAGTTTATCAATGAGCTTGACAAAATCCGAACGAGACTAAAAAATATTTCACAAAATTTTAGTACTAAATAAAATAGTTAGACTACAAGCCATTCTCAAAGTAACTACTACAAACACAAATGCGAACGGCAATATATCAAAATAGGTTGGCATTAGATTACCTATTAACAGAAAAAGGTAAAATATGCGGTAAATATAATACATCAAAGTGTTGTCTTAAAATTAATGATAATAGACAAGCTGTGAAACAGATAACAGCAAATATCAAAAAGCTAGCACATGTTCCGGTGCAGAAGTGGCAGTCCCTGATAGATATCAACTAGTGAAGTAACGTCTTTGGAACATCTTGGTAAAAAAAAAAATAATAGACTTTGTTTTGATATGTGCTACCGCTGGACTGCTGTTCATCCCTTGTTTTATTCTGTGTGTAGTGAGGTTAGTCTCCAGTGTAGTAGAAGGAATGCAAGTAGCTAGCCTACCAAGTGTGAAGGCCCCGAGTTACGGTATTATATCACGAAAAGAGTATAGTCCTACGAAAAAGAGACTACCGAAAAAAAAAAAAAAAAAAAGAACAAAGTGAAAGATTGCAGTTATTACTAAATAAATGGAAATGAAATTATTAGCTTCAGCAAAAATGTAATAAATAAAAAGGGGGTGGATTGTGGGAAATAAGCTAAGTTTTGCTTCAGCTAATTGATGTATCATTGTTAGTGTGATAGTACTAACAAAGAAGCCTTAGTAATAGTAGAGTCTAATAAATTGTATCCAATTAATCCCCAGAAATGCCCTTGGTCTCTCAAGGGATCTTTGTTTGCAAAGCGTTATCTAGGTAAAGAGAAACAAACTGGAACATGGCCTTCAACACAAAAACCCAAAGGGTAGGGGAGTATCAATAAGGCCAAAGAAACCAGTCTGGTAAATCTGCCAAGTAGATGGTAACAAAGACTGTGAAATAACATGTAGCATAATCAACTAATCAAAGGCGTATTTAGGATAATGATTTCATAGAATAGGTGTGTGTGTGCCTTATTGGGAAAAAGTGCAAAATAAACCTGTAATAGGTCAAGCGGTCGGGAAGAATGTGAGCTCCAACTTCTCAGCCAATGAGAAGGGAGACAGAGACTCAAGCGGCCGGGATAAAGGTATAAAATACCTGAAAGATAAAAGATCATCGTGCATCTATTTTTGGTGCACCCGATTCAGCGCTGTTTCGTATTAATAAATTATTTTTTTTTTTTAACCTTTGCTTCGGTGACTTTGTCCTCTTTAAATTCTAAGATGTGAGTCGGTGTTTCTCACAGCTATAAAGGCAATTATCTAATGACCTGGTGCCTACAACTGGCTTTGTTTTAGCTTTTGCTTTGCTTTATCCAATTGCAAGGTGAAATGTTTACTCTTGTATGTAGTTTTTATAACTAATAGACAGTAACAGCAGGTAGTTATTCTGTGTAGAATGAACTATTTATGACCCCAAAATAAAATGCAGCATAAAGAATCAGGAGCATGGGATGACAGAGGCCCTGGCAGTACAGGTGCAGGATGATGTTGAAGGCCTCAGGCTACAAATAGCTCATCAATGGTTAATTACTGGCTTCAAAAGGTGCAACCTTAGCAGGTGGGCAAGCCAGATTTTAGATGTTAAAAAGGAGAACAAACAACAAGTACACAACCTATGTAAAATGCATCACATATAGCAAATTTGGGTCTACTGTGGAGTTGTGAACCAGTGAAGAAAGAACGATATGTGGAGCGTATTAGTAAGCACGTAACAATGACCTCTGGTGAATCATGTGGTAAGAAGGAAGCAATTTTCACTTCTGCTTATCACAGCAATGAGGAAGAGAAACTCCCCCCACTAATGTCATTCTGCTTGCTGGAGGACACTGGTGACTTGCTGTTACACATGCCCTCACCCCAGACTGAAGACATAACAGGGGCAGCGTAGTGGTGCATATGAGAGGCAGAGAAAGGAGAATATGCTAGAAAGTTTATGTGTATCGGTTTTCCCTGATATAATTTGGAGTGTGTCAGTATCATTGTAAGAAAAATACAAGAATATAATTTCACCACCTAATTACCTCAGCTAATAATAATAATAATAATAATTTGATTAGACTATTTTTAATAAGATTAGAAATAGATAGTCTTATATCCTATTCCTAAGTTTGCATGTAAGGTGTGTTTCCTTTTGTCCATAAGAAGGTTTTGAATCTGACAAATTGATGGTAATTGAAGCAACCTGCTCTGTAGCTTGGATGTAATAAGTTGGTAATAAATGAGGTGTGCTGTTAGGAGTGCACAGACTTTTGTTTGTACTTGTCTTCTCTGAGCTGCTGGAGTGTGGGATCTGTAGATGCAGGGGTTTGGTTTTGGGCTTTTTTCTCCCCGGTCCATATCCGAGATGTGATGGCTGGGCTGAGGACACAAGTTCACCCCACTCAAAAGAGACCTCAGCTGAAGAGTTTCACTGCCAACTTTTTTCAGGTTCAAAGATCCTCCAGATCTGGGGTTGCCAATCTGACCTTTTTATTTATTGATTATTTCCTATGCATACATATAGTGCTATCACAGCACTCAATGCTTCCTAGATCGGATTTTACCCATGATTCATGCAACAGCCCAGCCACAGGGTGATGAGTGGCTGAAATCCTAGAGGCTATCCTCATTTTGTCCTTCGGTTTTTGTGAGTAACTCTGTACAGAGTGAATGGGCTGGTGAAGCCAAAGGCTGTTGACATCCGTGGCCTCTATTCCCAGTCATCACTTCCCTTATATATATATAAGGAGTACATAAGGAGTAAATATACTCTTTTATAAACTGTCAATAAAAATATTTCCTGTCTCCTGGTGAACATCATTCAGCTTAACGACTGTTAATAAAATACCTTGAAATATTTAGCTGAGAGAAACACACTTTAGAAGTGGGTTTCATGAGGAACACACCAGCCACTTAGTGAGCTCTGACATGTTAAAACAATTTCCAGGGGAATCTGGGGATTCTCTTTGCTGGCACTGTGATGTGCTCTGGAAATTGTCCCCTTCTCCAATGCATTAGGTAGTCAGTTGTTAAAAAAGAAAACAAAAGGAAGTAGTTAAACTCAACTGGTAAATGTTTGGTTGTGTTTTTTAAAAATAAAGATAAGGTTTTCTCCTTAGCACCAAAAAAGGCACCTTTATTAGCATGGCCCAGAAGCAATTTTTTTTTAACTTTTACAATTAAGATGCAGCAAGTGGTTATAATGCTGCGACACAGAAGTGATTAGTCAAAATACAGAACACAAGACATAAGTGCAATCACATGTGCTTTATTTCAAATTCTTATTACACTGTGGTTATAAAAATGGAAAGCAGGTTTATATGCAAGAGCAAAAAATGGATAATTTCATTAGATGATGTATGCTCCGGTAGGACTGCTTAATTACTTAACAGAGATTGTCACCTTGCATTTACAACACACTCTTCAGTCCCTTGTACACCAGAAGACCTGTTTGGGAAACTTTGACATTGCAGAATTTCTAACGTGGTCACATAAGCTGTACAAAACGAGCGTGTGCCTATGCCTGAAATGAAAGCCCCCAAAAGTCTGGAGTTCCTGGAGCACTGAGGTGGTGTGAATCTTTGAGTTGTTCTACATACTTCAGCAAAAGAGTAGCTTGCGTTTTTTCTCTCCCCTCCCTGGACTTGCTTGTTTTTAACAGCTGATTACAAGTTCTGCAGGAGGCAATGTGTAGCAAGAAGAGGATCAGAAGGTAAGTTATTTCTGTTGCTCTCTCACTAATGAGATGACAAAATGACCCAGCCATACACAGCACAATAAAGTCCCAGTGTCTAATGAGCATGAGGCTTCTTTTAACTTCTTTGGGAGCTCAGCTAGCTCACCTGTGCTGTTGGTACGGGACATGCTCTTACACACCCTGGCCACTGGAGAGGAGTTGCTGCAGATTGTGGCATGTGCATCTTGACCTCATGGAAAAAGATCCCAAGAACGATGTCAGGGGAGTTGAGGTATGAACACACACACCCCTCTCCTGCTGCCCTGGCGCAATGAGGTACATGGCTTAGGATGGAGCGGTACCCTGCGTGGAAGACTAACAGAAACCACAGATTCAGAGCAGCTTCTGGGCCAGAAGGTCCTCAGGGGAAGAGCGATACTTTGGGAAGCCCCACTGCACCTTGCAGAGGAATATGCTGCAAGAAAGGCAGGAACCAGATCCAGCCTGGGGCATTTCTGACTCAGGATACATTTTTATTCCTTTTGCAGCTGAGTTTCTGTCCCTGTATCTTCCTGGGGTCGCTCACGTAACAGGACATCATTCCGCTTCACCTGTCATTCCATGGAAACTTCCAGGCATGGTTTAGTCTAGACTCATCCTCCCCAGGTGGCAGCTCCAGTGCAGGACATTTGTTAGGCTTGTGAGGCTGGCAGGAGAAGACCCTCATGCTGCCCCCTCCACTCCTCCTCTCTTCTTAACCTCATTTATCAGCTGGCAGAGCCTGGACTGCTCTGGAGCAGGGAACACCCCAACACACACACACACACAGAGGAAATAGGGCTACAGTATGGGTTTAGGATAGAAGGAAAGGGAGAGAAGAATGAAGAGAGACCACACCATATAAAAGAGATGTGACCAGGAAATGCAAGTTCGGAATGATGAACTCTGAGCAGGTGCATGAAAAACTCTGAATTTTCATCGAGCAGAGGAGAGAAACAGGGTATCAATAGGGCAAGAAGAGCAAGATATCAAGGAGTGAGTACATGTGGGTGCCTGCACACATGGAAGAATATATGAAAAAGAACAGGAAAGCAGGAAGAGGAAACAAGGGGCTGGGAATATTCTGAAGATAACACAACCCGAGAGATACTTCCAGGAAAGCGAGTTCTCCATGAACTGGAAAATTCTAATATCATGAGATAATGCAGTCCCTTTAACTAGAAATACCTGTTTTTATTGCAGCCTGAATGATCTACCGTAAGGTTGTGTAATTCAGTCCAAGAATTTATAACAGTGGGTTCTTTTTTTCTCATTTTCAGTGAAATATCAGGCCTTAATTAAAAATAAAGTTCAGGCTACTTTGGTGAACAGAGCTTTCCAGATTCCCTTGCAGCACTAATGCAAAAGACCATAAATACAAGTGAACTATAGGAATAATATGGCCTAGAATTGCCTTTAATTACGTGTATCTAATTTTAAATCATTCACTATCCAGATACTTTTTCAAGTTCTCCCCGGTGTTATCAATTACTTTTTCATAACAAATTTTGTTCAGGACAAGGATGACCAAATTAAAAATAAATAGATTTCTACCTCTATTTTTCCCCCCTGTAATGTAGTATGTTGAAGTATAGCTAAATGAGAGATGAAGACAGCACCTTTGTTCATGGCTTCTGAATCTGGACGTTCAGCTCCCCATACACATGCCTCAGAGCATTACAATTCAGACTTGCAATCAGCTTCCGTAACCCTGGTCGGTTTGGGATGCATTTTATGTCCCAGATCAAGGTAGAGTTTGCTGGGATTTGTCTGTAGGGAAAAGGAAAGTAACAATATTGTGATTAGTCAGCCCATACTCTCAACCTGACCCACACCTGGAAAAACTGAAAGTGGACAATATAACATGTCTCAGTTTTTTGGTTTCACTCATTCTCAAACCCGCTCCGCATCGGGGGTCGACCCGGTCTCCCCTTAGCACCTCCCCGCGGCTCTGCCCCTCTCTCTCCTGGGGGTTGCCCTGGCCGCTGTGATGCCGGCTTCAGGCGCGGACGCCTGCTCTTAGTTAATGGCCGCACTGCAGCCGCGAACCCGGGTCTCATAAGTGTCCTATTCTCATAAGTGTCCTATAAATTATTCCCTCCATCTTCTATTCCTCGCAGAACTGACTCTGTCAAAGACTTTTCTAGCCTTTCCTCCAGGCTAATTTTAAATTTAAAAAATGAATCGATTTTTCTCTGCCCCCTGTCACTTCCTCTCGCAATCACTTTCAGAATGATCTTCTTTATAACTAAGATTTTTTTCTACTTTGTAATTCCATTTTATCTTTTTATTATACCCTATAACCCGTTGGTGATTCCTTAAATGGTTAAATAAGTCCTTGTTACAAAGTGTCCAGGGCATTCTTACGCAAACCCGATGCTGTACTGTTGAGATGCTGAGCCAGTTGCCAGCTTCTACTCTGTACCACCTGCCATGGTGGTAACATCAGCAGATCTCCTCACTGGGCATTTCAGATGTCTTTTTCATATCCATATAAATAAGTCAAAGTGTTCTTAGGAGTGCTGTGGTTAGCAGTTACTCATTTATGTTATGTATGACTCTTGATAACTCATACTATAAGGAAGCTATATTCTGTGCTCTTGATTTTCAATTTTTGCTATAATTAAGATGCATGGAGAGCCTTGAGTATTGGGTTTTTCTGTTTTCTCAGTGCTTTCACTGTGTTCTGCATGCAGATTTTGACAGCTAATATTGATTGATGATTGATTGATTGATTGATTAATTGGGGGATGTCAGATTACAGCTGCTCCAAAGGAATCGTGGAGAAGGTGGTGTGATGGGTAGCTAGTTACAAAAATGAATGATCTTTTCCTCAGCACTAAGTGAGAGGACTATGAGTTTGGCCAGTGTTCTCATCTCACATGGCTGTTCTGCAAACAACTGAATAAAGTGAGAGTAAAGCAAGGCTAAACTTTACTGTTTCAAATTCTTGTCTGATAGGATTTGGCTCTCAGATACCATGTCCTATGCCAGGATCAGGTCAGAAATGACGGCCCAGGCTTAGCACAAGTTGCCAGAAGACAAGAAACCTTAATTATCTCTAAATGAACTAGCCTGTGATCCTCCCACCTGAATCTTTTTTCAGAGCAAGTCTGTCCCTACTAAAATGAGAAGTATTCTAGCTCCTTAGAGGTTAGCCTTAGGTATCCTTAGGTATCTTCACATGGTATTGCATTGCATTTTGCATATGCAATCATAGGTACCCTGGGGCATGTATCCAGTTTTAGAAAAGAAAAAGCAGAGGAAGATCATATTTTTGGTGTGTGCATGTGCAGACTGCTTCCAGCAAGTGTTTTCCCTCTTTTTATACTTGTTCTTAATGAGAGAGATTCTTTTCCCCTCAGCCAGCCTGCCTGCTCCACTAGATGCCCACTAAAATGGTAGCATGATAAAGCAATGACTTCAGTTGCTGCACAAGGTTAAATATCCTTTTAAATTTAGAATTTATGGGAATGATCTGCAAGGGATTGTCTGTATGGAAAGTGAAGAAGATATTATAGAAGTCTGCTATGTAGCAAAATTCTGTTTACTTTCTTGAAAACTTGGGGGCCAGATTATCTGAGGATGGAGGTTTCCAGACCACATCTTCATGGTGCCCCAGTGAGAGAGGGTAGCACTATCATCTCTAATTTATAGTGCTATTATCTCTGCATATATATATGTGTGGACTCGATGATCTCTGAGGTCCCTTCCAACCACTACGATTCTGTGATTCTGTGTGTGTGTGTGCAGAAAGACAACAGCTATACTAAAAAACCAAACCCACCTTTTCTTGTTTCTTTACTACCTTACTTCCAAAACAACTTGCTTCTCTCTACAAATTCTGATGCTAGCTGAGCTTTGATGTGTAGAAACACCCAAAGTGACATACCTGCTAGCGTGAATGCATGCTTGGCTAAAATCTTCTTAACACTATCCATCACTGCCTGGTTAATTCTCATTTGTCATCCAAAGATTATGCCCCATGTAGGAACTGCTGCTGCCAAAGGCTTTTCCATAAGTCATGATCCTCATCTGTCTAAGGCTAATAGCTACATATCATTATATATATATATATATATATATATATAGTCTTCATGAATGGTCAAGACTGAAGCCCTCAAGCCACTTCATTCCCAGAATAATGCTGAATCAGCTGGATCACACATTCCTGTTTTGTGGAATAACCCAAGTGACACAGAAAAGCTACTTTAAAAATATGGGAAGGTCAAAAATCTTACCCCCACAAGGAGTTGCAAAAGCCACATCCCATATATGACAGTCCTTGATGGACAGGGAAGCAATGGAAGGGTGGGGAAAGCCTAGAATAGGTTTAATTCTCTTTTCAAATGGAGTAAAGCCATCCTAACCTCATTTTCTTGGGAGAGAATTCAGTGATGAATGGTTCTCTGTAATATGCTGAGCCATCACCACGCTGGAGCCATTTATCACTTTGAATGCATGGAGGCAAATATGATTATTATTTAAATAAACTACAACTGCCCCCTGCTCTGTCCTCTGTGTGTATAACCTGCAGCCTTCATTCATCTCAGAGAAGTCAAATCTTAAAATGACTAAGCTGATCCATTTCCATTTTAAATGGTGCCAAGGGCAGTACTGAAAAGGGGAAAACATGGTGACTTGAAGGAAAATTACATCTGTTCCGTGAGTCATTTGTCTCCCTAACTTCTGTGTCTTTGATGCACCTGACAACTTCTGCATCCTTGAAGGTGAGAACAGCCCACGGCAGCTTTTGGATGGAGAAGGATGCAGACCAACAGGGGAGGCTGGCATGGCTGGGCAGCAGCGAGGGCTACTGCTGCAACTTGTGTAACTCGTGTGGACCACGCTGAGTCATGTTCAGCAGTGTCTGCGACATACCACGTGCACAAAGCAAGCACAGCATGATGCCCTTTCACAGTCATTTTTCTATCCAGCTCCACTCTGGAGGCTGGTTTTGATCTTTTTATCCCTGGCCCAGGTGCAATCAGGCTCAGACCTCCCCTACTGGCTGCAGATAATGCTGACAATTTATGCCGCTGCTGAAGCACAGGCAATTTTTCAAACTCCTTTTGCACACACCTGGGGACCGTCAGCTCAGGTAATGATAGATAACATTGCTTTGGCTGCCCAAAACTAAGCCGTGGCTGCAAAATTTTCCAAGGATCCTGGTTATATATCCTGGAACCGGCTAATGCTGAACTTATAACACTGAACCCCAATGGAAAGTTTTGTTTAGTTTGGAGAAGAGGAGGTTGAGGGGAGACCTCATTGCCCTCTACAACTACCTGAAAGGAGGTTGCAGAGAGGTGGGGGTTGGCCTCTTCTCCCAAGTGAATAATGACAGGACCAGAGGAAATGGTCTGAAGTTGGGGCAGGAGAGGTTTAGATTAGACATTAGGAAGAATTACTTTACTGAGAGAGTGGTCAGGCACTGGAACAGCCTGCCCAGGGAGGTGGTGGAGTCACCATCCCTGGAGGTATTTAAGAAATGTGCAGATGTGGTTCTTCAGGGCATGCTCCAGTGCCCAGGATTATTGGTTTGTGGGTGGGTGTGATGTGGTGGGGTGTTGTGTTTTGTGGGGGTTTTTTTGGTTCTTTTGTTTTGTTTTGTTTTTTGTTTTTAAAGGTTGGACTTGATGATCTCAGAGATCCCTTCCAACCAGGGTGATTGACTCTGTGAAAGAGGGTTAGGAAACAACTTGCTTAGCGTACAGGTACCACCGTGTCAGCATGAAGTGCAACTGTGGGTATAACCAAGGTGGCTGAAGGACTTTCCTTTTTCCTCAGGCTTGAGAGCACCCTGCTCCCCACATGTCCCTGTGCCAGGGCAGCCCCGTGCTTGCACACCCACTGCAGCCCTCCCGGCAGGCTCTGCTGAACCTGACACACATTTCAGGTCTCAACGTAAGCTTGCAAAGATCATCTGAGCTACCTGAACCTCTTGTATAATCACAATTAACATGTGTGGAGAAAAGCCCCTTTTGAAAAACAGCACAGGGCTTGATTTGCACATACGTGAGCGGGTGGCAGTAAACACTTCATGTGTAGGATAAATCTGTCTTTCTTTCTGTGATAGTGGCTCATAGGTGCTATTGTCAAGTGCTAAAAATAACGTAATACAGTGAAAAAGTAAACCTAGGCTGCATTAGCAACCACCCACAACCACTACCTCTGCCTACATTGATAGTGAACAGATGAAATGTTCTCACAGTCTCTCTGGACAGCCTGACTTCTGACTATTGAGACCTATAGCTCCCCTGTGTATTGAATTTTAAAGTAAGGAGAGAATCGTCTCAATTGAATTACTCAGAGCTGCATTAGATAAGTGTCTCTTGTGAGCTTCCTCCTGTGAGACAGCAGGGGATGAACTCCCAGCTGGTTGTTCTTTCTTCCCTACCTGAACTCCTTTTTCATCGTTCTCAGCACGCCGGGTCCCTCGAGGCGGAGCGTGACGTTTTCCAGGGTTTGTTTCAGAGGATTGGTGAATTCCACAGTCACAGTCATTTCTTTACCAGCTACCATCGCACCTTGAGTCTGCAAGACAAGGAAAGGGCAACGCTCCACAAGCTGATAATAATGCCCCGTGGTGAAATCTGTAGGGTTAAATACACAGAACTTGCAAAGAAGGAGAGGAGGGGGAATGGAGCACACAGCAAAACACCGTAAGGCAGAATAAGCCTAGTCAGAAGAAAATCAGAAGAAAAGCCTCCTTGGGACGTAAGTTCTGGAAGAGAAGGGAAGGTCTTACTACACTGAAGTAGAAACAGAGTCACATTGTTTGCACGCCCCAAAAGTGTTGTGCCTGCCTTCCCCCTGCCTTGCAACTGTGTCCCGTGCTCTGAAGGGTTTCTAGCCCTGATCTCTATGTAGACTTGAGAGCCAGTTGTTTTCCAAAACACTTACATAGCAAAAAACCAATATATTTTGCACTGCAAATATTAAACTACGAGACTAATGACCAGTGATTGTATTGACTTCCACATGTATTACAGTACACAGCTGAAGGGATCCATCTGTCCCTTCAGACCAGGACTGGTACTACAGCTGCCTGCAAAACACCTCCAAATGAACGTGTTTTTAAGCAAAGACTATGTGCACGGGGATTTTGTTTGTTCCCACCTCGGAAACACAGTATTTCTTGTAGAATATAAAAAGCTCAGGCAAGGGGTTTCACCTTATGACTGGCAGATCCCAGCTAGTCCATGGACTACTTTAAAGAGCCTTGAGAAAGGTAATTAAGAAAAACAAGTATCTTGTCAGTAAATTTAAAGGGCTATACTGGGGTCTGCAGCCCTACTGCAAATTTTTAAGGAGTATGACAGTTGGAAAAAGCTGACTCTGGTCTACGGGATCACTCTGCACCAAATGCTGAAGTTTTGCCTGGAGTAAAGAATGTGGTATTCACAGCTAAGGTCTCAACAACATTTGGCCACCTGAATTTGCAAAAAGACATGGGTGACATTTTCAGGAGTCCTAGCCCAGTTAGAGGTCTTACATCCTTCGTATTTCAGTTGCCCATTTAAGATCACTGGTACATGGTGGGGATTCAAAATAATCCTGAACTCCCACACATGCAACTGAGATCATGATCTGTATTTGCTGAGTCTTATTTTTGTAACCTGGTCTCAAACTAAATTAGAATATGGTGTAATTTCCTACACTGTTAACTCCAACAATCTCCTTAGACCAACAGAGAAAGATCAAAGGTGTATTTGAAGACATGAGGGGAAATACGGTTTTTCATTTTTCTCCCTTACTCTCACATTAAAAACTCCAGTCTGCCAGTCAAATTCAATGAAGAAATCTGACAAGAAATCTGTAGAGATTAGCTTCTTCAGATTTCTTTAAAAAAACTCAATAAATCAAAGTTTCCTCTGTAAATACATAGGTATATACATGTGTGCACATACACACACATACTCTTAAAAAAACCCAGCTATTAAAATTTCACCTTATTTTTACATATCGCAAAGAAGCAAAGAAGAGACAAACTCAGTTCTCAGTTTTACTAGAAGACATGGTTATTGGAAAAAAAAACAACAACTATCTCATATACTAAATATCCTTTCTTCATAACAGCAGGGAGGATAAACTATTTTGAAGCTTATATTTGGGATCCTCTATAAGATGTTCTGTTTAAGTATTGAATTGAAAGGACTCTCTCCTTTCAAAATTTGGTTATTGAAGACAGGTATTTGAAGTAGATTTTATGTGTCTTGTTTACCTCCTCTCTAAAATGCTCAGAAAACTAAAAAACTTTTATTTGAAAATACCAATAGTCTGATCAGATTATAACGACATTTCTGCAGACCATGAAATATTTTGCAAACTTCGCTGTAGTTTTGATCTATAATTTTAAAAAAAGCTTTTTCTACAGAAGGCTGCTGTTTAAGATTACTACAGGTATTATTAAATGGAAACACGAACATTTGTTTAAATAAATATACAGGGAGGAAAAGGCCTATAAACTTAGATTTCTTTCAAGGTTCAGAATTGTAGGGAACTGCATTCATGTTGATGTAAAGCTTCCTGAACAGGTGTTATGAATTTTTTTTAGTATTAGGAAAAAAGCAGATCCAAATTACATCATTCAAAGCAGATGAAGGCTCAGCACTTTTTAAAATGAGGCAATTTATTTGGATACCCAGTTATGAATTGAGATCTCTAAATCTCAGCCCTGCATTTGCCAGACATAGGGCATAAGGTCCTTGTCCTATCACAAACATAACACTTCTACATTTTCATAGGTACCATGCCACTGCCTGCAGAAATGCTTGAACTTCCAGGAAACTCCATGGACAGTACATTCAGAGCAGCGGAAAAGCCCTGAAATCCTGAAAGCAGGGTGCTGCCCATCCAAGTTAGGAGGAACTTTCCACAACATCTGCAGGAGCTTTCCGAGAAAATTCACTTCAACAGCACTTCATTCCTCAGCAAGAGGCCTCTGTGCTGTGTTGCTTTAAATGTAACAGACTTCTGAAGTAGCTAAAGACTTGAGTGACTAATCTCTCTTACCCTTTGAGTTTCTCCAGCTTTCTCAGATCTTTTCCCCTCCTTCCTCCACTGAGATCACTTCAGCTCTCTACTACCAGTGATGCTGTCAGCATCAGACTTCAGAGCAGGGATACTCCATAGAATGTATAACATACCTATACACCCTCGTACACTCTAGCCAGCTGCTGCTTTATAAGGTCCATGTCAGAGTAAAGGTCCAACGTGCACACACACACATACACACACACACGTACAACCCCCTCCCCGCCATCCCCGAAGTCAATGTGACAGCCTTGTAGACAACAGCCCATGTGCAGCATTGCGGTTGCTCCCTTCCACCCCAGCCCTAAACTACCTTGATCCTCAGGGCAGGAATTTCCAGGACTGTTGCCTTCTGTTTGGCCAGAATCTTCCCTGTTTCATTGATCCGCGCCGTCACAAAGAAATGAAAGGAGGCTTGGTCCAGCAGGTCACTCAGGTACTCACTCGATTTGATCACAACATCGAAATTGCCAGCTGAAGAGAGACCACAGGAAACAATTCAATGGCTAATTGCTCCCCCTAGCATGCCCAGTGCCACTTACACAAGTGCCTTGGAAAAAAGTTGGCCTACCACCAAAGAATGACTTTGATTTTTTTGCCCAGACTATCTTGACTTCTTTACCTCACCTTCCCCCCTCAGATCTTGCCCTATTTCTTTTTAGACCTTTTTCCTACACTGAAATTGCCATAAAATTACCAAGGAGGTCCTCCTGTCACTGGCATGCCCTCCAGAGAACTTTCATGTGCTCCCTGACAATAATTATTGGAAGGAACCAGTTCCCCTAAGCTAGATGGTTAAGATGCAGGGAATCATTAATTTTAACCATATTGAACTGCAATTCCCAGGCCCACAATGATGTGAGAATGTGATGCAGAGAAGCAGACCTGCTAACTAAGTGACTGGGCAGAATATATAGTTCTGGAGCTCTTGCCTCTATAAACATTCGTTATAACCCTAGTAAACATATCAAGACCTCCCATCTGTTAACTATGATTATTACTGTTATTCATTATTTGTATTGTATTTGTGACATACACTGTACACACTGAGATAACTGAACTCAGTTGGGTAAATGACATTCACCCCTTTTCACTCTTTTGATCCGCGCACATCAAAAAAAACAGTTCCTTGATTTGGTTTCAAAGCTATTCCCTTGGTGACCACCTGACCTGGATTTACCAGGCCAGCCTTAAATTTACTTGATGTGCTCCCCCTCCATCCCTCCCTCCCTCCCTCTCACTCTGTATCTCTTGTAAAAGAATTTCCCATAATGCCCCAAACTGTAATTTATAAATCAGGCAAGGTACTTCTCATTCGTGTAAAGTAAATAAATAAATAAATAAATAAGTTACAATCAAAGAGAAACGTACTGTACAGTGGAAGGAAAGATGAACTTTTCTGTTTAAATTTTATCACCACAGGAAAAAAAAAAAGAATAATAGACTTCCATTTCCTTAGCACTGGCTGTGCTTAGCACTGGCAACTTCCCAGCACCTGGGAAAGCCAAGGGATACACAACACCAAGCTGCCTTGCAGCCTTTCAAAAAAAAAAAAAAAAAAGAAAAAAAAAGAAAACTAAATATAACTGAGTAGATGCAAGAGCACCTTTGAAGGCACTGGAAGGTTTAAGCTATTCAAATCCTCAAAGATGTTTTCAACCCACACAATTCCTTTAATCATTATTCTGAAATTATTCTGCATTCGTTTCCTGTTTGAAAACTTAGTTTGCTTCATTCTTTCAGTAGCATGAGCTGGAAGAATGCCTCTGACACATCTTTATTATATTATAATTTTTTGTTACCTCCAGATACATATATACACTTCTTGCTATCAACAAAGCCTACAAATTCTGCCTGAGTGCCTTGAAAGGTATCCTACTATCACCTCAGAAGGTATCACCATCCTACCCGACAGAGTATTCTCACAGTTGCAAATGATGATCATATGTGCACTCCTTTCCAAGGCAAAGGCGAAAGAATTCATGCTCAAGTTTTACGTATCACCTTCAGAGATGTAATAACTTGTGAGAATTTTTTTGTCCTGTAACAGGACAAAGTGCTCCACAAGTCAATGACGGTAGCTCAGACATAAGCTAATTCCCACCTTGAAATTTGGTAAGACTTTAATACTGGTGTCCTTGACCAGAAGCAGTGATGGGAACCTAATTTTGGTACACATGCAAAAAAAAATCCATGTTCTGTTTTCTCAGGTGATTCTCTCCAGTCTGTGTTCACTCACTGTCAGTCAATTCAGAGTTCCAGCACGGTTTCAAGAAGCTTTTTTACAAACCGTTTATTTAAGTTAGAAAAAATCAATTATGAGGCTCAGTGATGCTTATACATCTATTAATTTCATTTCTTGCACAGAGGAGCTAGGTGAGCATCAAAGCACTGCAGAAACTCTGTTTTGGGTAATACCTTACACAGACCTTTGATGCAAGAGCAGACATAAGTCCTGGAACCAAGCACAAATTACAACTGCAAAGTGTAGCAGGTATTTGCACATCTCCTACAAGATGACTGAATTTTCCCCCATCAAAGAGGTGGCACAGAGTTTAGACTGAGCAGCTGAAATTAATTTTTTTACTGTACCTAGCCAAGTCTCAAAATGTTTTGCAGTAATTCAGATTGAATATTTAGTAACTGATGCAAGCCACTGTAAATCCCCACACTGTTTTGATAGGCTGTGTTGAAACAGCTCAATGCTCATTTCTAGATCCCCCACAAATGAGTTGTGGAGTTAGAAAGAACCAGCAAGCAGCTGTCATGGCTTTGTTACAGACCAGAGGTAGAATTTTTATTAACCTCCACCTGTAGGTTCCTGTAACTGGACTCCTACTTTACGGAGATTAATCGGCTCCAAATAAAAATGTGCAGTTTTAGATGATGCTCAAAGTGAGGAAGAAACCAGAAGATTTTTTTTCATGGCACAGCAGGAACTGTGGTACCATGGAGGCTTCTCACTGAGACAAAACCCATCCTCTTTGAGATGAGAGGGCGTATAGTGTCTCTTGAGCTGGGATAAGATAGACAAGAGAGATGAGAAAGCTCAGAGGTCAGCCAGGGTTGCCGTGATCCAGCACCAGACCCAGATCTAGAGGCCCATCCTTTTTCCTCCTGAAGTCTTGCCACTCCCGCTGCGCTCAGCAGAGGTTGCTTTTGCCCGGTAGCAGTGTCAAGAAGGCAAAACCATTGCTCCTGACTCTCTCAGTAGGGAACTCAAGCGGAAGATCCTCTGACTTAGCCTCCATAAGAGCACGTTCTCATCACTTTTGGTAAGCTGGAGGCACTGACCCATGAGCACTCAGGCCTGTCAGGAGAACAAGTGATTGGCAGCCACTTGTCACTGGAGAAGCCAGGGATCTACAAACAGCCTGCTCCCTGGCACTTAGGAGTACAGCAAGTCCTTAACACTTGCTGACTGATTTCTGAATGGGGCTCTGATATGGCTGCTGTGAAGTAGATTGGTTATGTCCAAAATAAAAATGGAGAACATCCCTCTTCCCTACCTTGAGCAGTGCAAAATCCTGCCCTCAGCCACATGAGCTAGGCTGCCAGAACTGCTTTTCTCATAACAAGAGGGAGGCAGGATCTCCCCACCGCAGTCCAGAGGACACTAGGGAAAGCAAATGCTGCGTCTGTAAAGATAACTCACCTTCGGGGCACCTGCCCAGCTGACAAATGCCCCTGCTCTATAGTGACACATTCTAGTTAACACACAAACTTTTTAGACCTCTGTAAATACAAAATCCTGACCCACCCAGTCCTCCAAAGCCAGATTTGCACCTGAACCCACTCAGAGCTTGTCAGCTTCTACCAGGTAAGACAAGATATTCACTTTTTGTCCCTGTAGATGGCACCCTGGGGAACCAGAAGTTTTCCTTCACTTTCTGTTATACTGCTAGGAGACTTAAGGTATGAAAAACAACACCTTGCAGCTTAATACCTGCACTCCTTTCCTTTCTTTTGTGCTAAGTAAGAAAAATTAACAGTTCCCAGACATGCAACTGAGTGGAAAAGAGCATTATGCAGGGAGCAAGAGCCTGAAGAAAACAACCCCAGCTCTACAGTACAATGGTAGCAGGGCCAGAATTAGGAGTGGAATCTCCTGATACCCAATAGAGTATCCTACCCCTACTAGAATTGTCTCTACCCATAAGTAAGAGACATCAGACAGTTAATGACACAGATTAAAAAATGCTAGCAGGTTTGAAAACAATAATGGAAGTCTTACTTGAATAGGGTTCCAGTTTTGCACTGAAAGAGTGTTTCTTGAATTCCTTTTTTGTGACTCCTGTATAAAACACTATGTTGCCTGAAAGGTAGGCAGTAACAGTGTAGTTGTTATGACTTTTGTTCCTGAAAATTATAGTGACTTTAAAGTCACTGCCAAGGACTGCCTTTTGCACTTGGAATTCCATGTCAACATCTGTTTGTGGCTGATACGAGGTATCTTGGATAGTTTGCTTTTTAACGCCATACATCACAGCAGTCTCAAGAGCCAGTCTCTCCTCATCTGAGCCTAGAAATAAATGAAAATCAAATTTAGAAAAGAAACAGGGATACTGCTAAACCATCTCACCAATCACAAGGGGCATCTTCTATAGTTTGTGGTAGCTGAAATGAATGGATGAGGACAGTGAACCTTCCTGGGGTAAAGTTAATGTTAGGAGAAATTCCCAGCTTCCGAGAGGAGTGTTAGATTCAAGTCATATCAGATAAATTGATGTAGCTTAATTGATATTAATGGAGCTACACCGATTCACTCTGTGCGAACATCTGGCCTGAATAAGAAATATCTAAACAGCTGTACAGAAAGCCTTGAATTGTTTTGAATGCTTTGAATTACTCCATTACTATCTTTTGCTTTCACTGCACTTACTCAGTCTAAAGCATTTCTGAGTAGCAAAGTCTGTGCTCTCATCAAGGCATCTGCAGTGTTTCTGGGATGGAGTTACAAATAAATAGTTCCAGACGGACCTTGGAAGCTTTTCACGAAGCTCCCTCAGTGCCAGAGTTTTGTAAATCCACCATCTAAGGTCTGACTGAGGTAAATCTACATCGGTATGTTCCCAACCCATTTCAGGTTACCTTCTTGGAACTTGTACTCCTCAGTAATCTCCTTCATTTCATCACGCCCAACTTCCTTGGTCACAATTAACTGCCCAACATGCTTTGTGTCAATATTTTCTATCACTTGGGTTCCATTCTTCTCCCTTCTTAAGTAAACAATATCACTATTCACCTGTAAAATTGAATGAAAAAGGATTGAGACATGTGAAAGTAGAGAGGAAGGGAAACCAGCCTAACTCCCCTCAAAACAATGACACATTGACCGGAAGTCCCACTAATTTCTTGCATTGAAGTCCCATGTGTAAAATTAGTCATATGCTACAAGAATGACTGGATGCATTTTACTATTCACAGCTCCAGAACAACAGACTGCGTAAACTTGAGTAGGCTACAGAGAAAGGCATTCGGACTTGGGGAGTGTGATTACACATCCCCTGCACCAAAAAGTTTTAGACCATAAAGAGGGGAATGCTTCATAGATAAAACATCTTTATTCTCTTCTGTCCTAAGCAATTCAATTCCTTCTGCCTAGTACAATTCAATTAGAGAGAGACTTGCAATTCTGGGCACACCAGCTATGGTGGTGCAAGAGGTTAAAACTCCAGACCAAGCCCTCTTGCTCCTTATGGAGATATTTCCCTCTCAGATCTGCCAGTCAAACCACCCATGTGAGCTCTCCTTGACTTACTGCAGCCAGAATGAACGCAGTGAGCAAAGGCTTCTTTAAAATCACTGCAACCATTTTGACTTAACATAAGCAGCTTTGCTGGCAAGCCTGAGAAGGAGGTAACAGCTAACAAGTGGTGAAGATGAGCAGCTAGAACTAGTGACTCATTTGCCAGCACAGCTGGAATCTGTGATGGATAAATGACCGCAGCCTGAAGTTTCATCTGAGCCAGGGCAGCTTTTTCTGCGTATTACATTGGTGAGCAGAGATTAGAGAAATCTCTGTCATTCATTGCAGCCATATCCCATCTCCTAGCCTGCATGTCAAAATATAATTGTGAGATTTTTCTTTGATGTGGAGCATACGTAAAGTGACTTCTAAGTCCATAAATTGCAGTGGAGCCCCATCTTCTGTCTCACCTATGGTGCCACTGATATCACTCAACATGCTAAAAATTTTCAGATATGTACCTCAGCATAAACAAAAGGAGCGTCAAACTGGAAGCAAACGTGACCATGTTTAATGGCTTGAACTGAGGCTGGGCCACACCTATACATACCTGTGGGGAGAAGACAGATACAGTGAGAGATTAAATTAAATAACATGTCAAAATGTTACATTTTCTTGAAGCTATATGAGGGCACTGGCTCAGCTCATTGTTTGCCACAAAGAACCCAAACATTGGAAAGATAGCTAAGGAGGACTTAAAGCAATATTACCATCGCTGGTTTCTTGGGGTGTTCCATCAACAACCTGCCATCCTCCAAAACCAACAGGAAGATCAGGTCTAGTCATCCAGGCTTCATTCCAGCAATGGTAGTTCCTTAGACAAGAGATGAGACCAGAATATTAAATTCTTGGAAAGAAGCATACAGAGCAAACCAAACCTGTATATTTATGTGCTGCCATTGATTCAATAACACCAATTGCCATTTTAGGGTTAAAAAGCTGGTTCTTTTTAGAGAAAAGATTTTTAGGTCTAAAAGTTTGGTACCTATCTATTACAACCTGAAGGCCACAATCTTTCATTGTAGTTTCTTGACTGCAAGTTGAAGAAGCTTTTTGATTCATCTGCTGTGTTCTGAATGCAAATGTCTCTGAGAAAACTTTCCAGTGCTTGGAGATTGTTGGGGTTGAGCTACACAAACTACAATCCCTTTCCAGCCAGACCCCTCCACTTCAGTCTGCTAAAGCAAGCTTTGAATCTTCTTCAAGCCACTGAAGCTTGGTCTGCTTTGTAACTGAATGAAGCTTTGGTGCTCTTCTGAAGAGATTTCAGAATCAACTCCATAATGTACAGCGGGTGGCTTTGTTTTCATGGCTCAAAACAAACATGCTTAGCTGGTTTCCATATTGGTTGGAAAAAAGACCCTGCATAGGCTTTATAAGACTACGCTCATTGTGGATTCCTTATAAGGTCTTCCTGGTTCATCATGCCAATGAGGGAGGTCAGATCTCCTAGAACATACAGCTTTCCATAAAGCCCACTTCCAACCACTGTGGGCCAAGTCTTGCCTTTAGGGCCCAGGACAGTATGCTGAAAGGTGAATTTCTGAGAGTGGTTCATCTAGGTGCTCAGCATTGTAATGCCCTCACTTGGCTGGATGCTCAGGAAAAAAAAACCACGATGACTACAGCACCCTCAGAGTCTGCCCAGAATGTTTCAAAGATGAACAGAAAAGGACAGATCTCATAGCTTCCTGCAATGTTACTGGTGCTTAAGGGAGAGAACAACCATGAAAAAAAAGACAATCTAGGAAGAGGGTCTTGCAGTAAGGCCAGTGAAGTGTTTGGATTTCATTACTGCAAAAAATAAAAGAAGAAAGGAGTAAAGAAAGGGGAAATTTTGCTTGCAAATTATACATATCCTACAGCAGATATGAATAAAATTACATCTGTGTAGCTGCTCATACAGCCCCTAGTACATGCAATGATATTAGCAACCAAAATGGGGATTGTTAAACTCTGACCATTTCATTAATAATAGGTGAAAACCAGCCATGGAGCAGAGTCGGGAGGATCTGAGGCTTGTCTAACAAGACATTTCAAAGTGGAAATGAAAGCTTGGATCAGGGTAAAACTTGTCAGTTAGAAGAGTTAATGAAGCAGCACTACAGAAAAAGGAATTATTCAAGGAAAATGACGCACACTCAGAGAATTTTTGATGCTGCTCAGAGTAGTCAATGCTGAATCATGCTTGCAGATCATTGCTGAGGGCTACCAAAGATTGGGGATGTACTTTGTGGCAGCTGAGTTTTTGAAAACTGTTATGTCAACACGTGAGAGAGACAATCCCTGCCCTGAAACCTTCACTGGTTCACTATGAATCAAGCTCAGCTGTGTCATTGGCTTTGTGTTCTGTGAAAGAACCTGAAGAGCAGGCAAGAGGCAAGTGTGACAAAACCAAAGAGGAGGATAACAGTGGGGAAAATTGCAGCTCTGCTTCAATTCCGTAACTAGGTAATGCATTTTTTTCTGTATTTTTTTTTCTATATTCATTCAAGGGGGCAGGACCTTTCTTACTGGTTTCTATTGCTGTGGTGTTGGGCACAACAGGACAACAATTTCTTTAGGTCAGCTGCCATGTAAATATCAAATACACTTCAGGATATTTTATGTGAATGGACAGAAAGACATTGCTTGTAAGCACATGAACTTTAAGAAAAGGAGGCTGAGGGGAGTGTTTGCCTCTCCAAAATGCAGCAGAAACTTCTCTCTGGTAGAAGTGAGCACAGCTGAGGAGGAACTGGCTCTGCAGCCATAATTTGTTAAACTGAGTCTTGTTTTGTAATTCTTGTATTCTACAGCAAGCCTGAAACATTAAAGAAAGCAAGAATGGCTACACAGATCAATGTAGTGACCATTAAATATTTACAGAGATAATTACGAATAGACTAAACAAAGCAATGGGGAAATTAATAAAAGATGACCAGGTGGGTTTTATGCCTGGAAGACAATTTAAGAGGGGTACTTCGTATTGCTTATGAGACAGGCACATGCTGGAAACAGCTGCTGCCCTTTCATTAGCTAATAAGCTCAGGCATTGGGGTTGAGAGAGGCAGTGATAACCTTAGTAAGAAATTAGAGAAAAGTTAACTGGAAGTGATTGAAAGCCTGGAAAGGCTTTCTCCATGGGCCTGGACATGAATGAACTCTCATGAGGCTGAGTGACTTCGAGCAAGTTTCTGCTGAGGGACTGACGTTGGTCTGCTTGGACCTCACAGTAGGAGTGAGTCTTGATTCCCATCCAAGAGAAATATTCTTTAAGTGTCTTTATATCATCATTAAGAAAGACAAGGAGAACAAAGTAAGGGGACAGAAGCAGTACTGATGGGCCCAAATCCGGCCAGCTTTATAAAAATAACTTTTTGCAAAGTCTGTGTAATTTTGTATATGTGTTTTGTTGTTGTTGTTTCCTATCCTGAGGGAGAAGATGATCTTTAATAAAAATAAATAAATGTCAGATAACATTCAGAGGGAGCCCCACACTCAGAGATTGATTGGACAAAAAATCCTGGCTCCAAGTATCCCTGAAGTCTGAGAGTATTTAAAACCTGAAGACAGATCACCTCCAGCAGTACAAGGCAATAGAAATGATATATTAATAAAGAAAAAGAGCTTTGCTTCAGTTTTTAGGACTTTATAAATAAAAGTGAGAAATACATTTAAAAAAAATCATTATAAATACCTTGATCTTGTCCTCTTTTTAAAAAGAAAAAAAAAAGAAGAAATAAAAGAGACATTAAAAATAAAATCAAGGTTAAGACACCAGCCATTTAAAGTCAGCATGTTGGCTACCATGGAGTGTTACAGAGTAATGAAGAGAAAGGACACAGAGGAGAAATGAAAAGAGGTGTGTAATATATTAAGTCATGCCCAAAGGGTTATGTGCACCATGGAGAACAAAAGGATGAACAAAGCAGTTTGAAAAGTAATCAAGCTAAATAAAAGCAAATGTAAGATGGGAGGATGAGATGCTGGTGTGCAGTTGCATATGGATTTCAGTGGAGCTGATGATCTGGCCCTCCTCCAAAAGAATGGGAAAAAACCCAGGACTGAATTAAGAAGTCTTGGGAATCATCTGGGAAGTGGAGAGGTAAGGAAGTAAAAGAAAATATCAAAAGTGGGTGAGAGTTGTTTCATGGAGCAGGGTGAGAAGGTGAGAAGAAGAAGAGATGAGACAGTGAGAAGTCTGAAGCATGGCAATAATCCATTACTGGATATATATGGACTGAGCAGTGGGGCAGCCAGTCATTGAGTCTTATTTCACATGATTTATAGGCAGAGGAGTTTCAGAAGAGTGACTGTTCCTTCACAGCTCTGCAAGCTGTAGAAGGACCAGCACCATAAGGCATACCGAGATCCTGCTGCTACATAGACCAGATGCATCTTAGCGAACTGGGAAGCCCCAGGGATTCTAACAGGATTGAACAAGGCAAATAGTAGGACTACAACCCTGAACTTCAGGAGAGCAGGCTTTGGCCTGTTTAAGGTCCTGCTTGGAACCTGGACACAGCCCTGGGCAACCTGCTCTAGTGACCCTGCTTTGAGCAGGGCATTTGGATGACTTGCAGGGGTCTTATCCAGTCTCAATCATCCTATGATGTTGTGATACAAGCTTCAGATGTAAATGAACCTAATTGTTTTCCTTAGATTCCCTCTTGATAGCAGATTATGGAAATTGCATAAAAGAGGTCACAGCAACAGGTTCTGTCATTTCCTCCACCACAGAATGGGTTTGTTACGGTTTTAATATAAGACTTGTAGAGATTGTGCTGTTAATGAAACATGCTGATGAGCAGCTATGCTGATGAGTTGACGATGTCATTGACACAAATCAGGTATATCAACACTGAATAGGACAAGTATCCCCTGAATATAGGAATATAGAGGTCACTGCTTCACTCTGAGGAGGAGAAGCTTGAGGCCAAATAACCTACACATAATTTCTACAGAACAAAGCATATAATCAATATTTGCTACACTCTCCTGTCAGACAGGAGACAGTAAGAGTTCAATGAGCGAGTTAGAGAACTGTCTTCTCCAAAAAAATGTGCAGACTCCGTTTCTTGTTCTTAGGGAGTTTTCTTTTTACAAATCTGATGATAGCATTTCAGTAACTTGTTTCTTTTTCAACTGAATTGGATTTATTTTGGAAAGTACCTATTTGTGACAGTGACTGCATGTACACAATGTAAAATCAGCCTACCAATATGGAAACTTGGCAGAAGCAGAACAAGAAGGGTGTTTTTCCATAGATATTGGGGTATCCCTTTGAGCCTGGCTCCAGTCTGATGGAAGTGCCCATCCTCCCCTTTTGTTTTGAGAAATGGCCTGGCCCTAAGAAGCACAAACCCATTCCAGCTCTCCAGTGTGCTTAAATGTGCACTGGATGGTAACATTAGTAGTGGGATCCCCTAGGTTTTGTCTCCTTACATGACAAGCACTTCATATCAGTAAGCCCACTAACAATCCATTCATTCTGTTTTACGTAAGCTAGGGGTGTTCTTTAACGCACAGAGAAATAAACAAACCACAGGCACTGCTGTCATGTTTTTTACTACTTACATAGTTGACACATTAAAGACATTCATCAGGAGAACTCACCAGACAGAGTCTTTTGTAAGTTTGGTGTCCACTTTCCCTTCGTCATCCAGAAAGAAGTCCAACTGTAAATTGGCATTGTTATCATGGGCAGAAGAATAGTTGGTAATGAGTCTTGCAGGTATCCCCAAGCACCTCAGAACTGTGGCAGAGACAAGTGTGATCAGAAGGACAAATATGAAGAGTGGATGACAGGATGAATAGAGAGAAACTATTAATAACTAGAATAAAATGGGAAAACTCAGTCAAATCAACCCAAATAATTCCTCTTATCTGTCTTTATACAGAATATGTTAAATATTTTATTTGGTCCTAAAATGATGAGCATTCAAGATGTGTAACGGTACAAAAGTCATAGCCTAAGCAGCTCATTACCATTGGTTTTAGAATAGTCTTGCTATGGTGAACAGACCGTAGCTTTTCAGGACAGATCTAGGTGAAATGGGTCAACTGCATGACCAAAGGTGGTATAAAGAAAAATAAGTTTAGGCTTACAAGAAATGCAAAATATATTAGATCTCCTAGTATCAGTAACCCAGGAGAATCTTGAGTCTGTGCTAAAAAGAAAATTAATAGAAAGTATCTCCTTCTGGTTGATTTGGAGTTTTCCTGTTTGACATCTGCTGTCAGAAGGGATCTGGAGAACACAAAGAATAAAGAAGAAAATTGTTGTTAACAAGGGAAAAGCTGCATTATTTGCAAGCGAAATGTCAGAATTAGAGAGTCTGAACAAAATGCATTACATAATTTGTATTGATTACTAAGTAATAGTATTCTGGAGTCAATAGTGCATTCCCATAAAGGAGTATAAAAAAAAAAAAAAAAAAAAAAAAAAAAAAAAAAAAAAAAAACCCCCAGGACTCCCAAATGCCAAAGGCAAAGCAATCCTGAGCACACAGTGAGCTAAATATATCCCTCCCCGCTCTGCTGCGGCTCCCTGTAGAGCACATTGGGCTATCCTGAATCACAATTTTCCAAAAGTGGCGGGGTGGTTGGTTTTCTTTTTCTGTCCACTACAAAGACACCACACTATGCTTGCATAAGCAAGCAAACCGAGCAGCTCATTCAGGATTGGGGGAGCTGGCGCTCTTGCTCTCTGATCGTTGAGCCAGAAGCTGAAAATGCTTAAAAAAAAAAAAAAAAAAAGAAAAAAAAAAGAAAAAGAAAAAAAAGCCCCTACCTCCTCTACCCCTAAATCTCAGATCACCACAATATAGCACTGTTAGCTCTTCTTCCCATTTGACAAGTGGTAAATTTGGGAAATGTGGAAATGCTATGGCCGTGTCTGAAGTACAGCAGTGCATCATTAGGCTTCTGTGCTTGTGGTGCACCCTGGCTGATAAACAGGCATGGAGCATGGCCCTGAGGAGAGAGTGGGGCTGCAGGGTAACGCATCATCTCAGCTTCTCCAGATGAAATAATTTGTATCTTAGCCAAAAAAGTTCCTGTTTTCCAATTCAGGAGCCAACATAGTTGTGCAGAAAACAGAGAGGTTTTTTGGAAAGGGAAAGCATTTTTATTGAGAACCCTATTTAAAAGTAGTTCTTATGCTGCGATTTTGAACGGCCCTTGGTTCTACTGCTGGGTTTTGTATATTCATTAGTGTCACTACTGTGATTCCCAATAAAGTGTAATGTTAGACATTCATTTCAAGTTCCTGGATGACAAATTACCTGGATGCATCCAATACCATATGTACCTATTGATTAAACTTAATTCAAGTGTCCTCCCAGGCTTCCAGCACAGGAGCCATCAGGGCTCACTGAAAATAATTTGTCTGACAATTTCAAGATTGATGACCATTTTCCAGAATGTTTTAGCATTTTTAACGGATGGCTATCCAGAGCGTACAATATAGTAACCTTGGAAAGCTGGACTGGTCACAATGATAAAACATTGCCAGCTGAGAAAGACTCAAAATCAGCTCAAAACCAACCCTTTTAGCTGCACACGGCTGTTCAGACCTTTGCTGTCCTCTCTGTGCGGTGGCCGGCAGCTGGACGTGTCAGCAGCTACGTGTCAGATCAGCCACTGGACATCATTTTCATTTCATAACTTTCAACAAACTTTATACTTCAGCAATCCTGAAATGGCAGGTCCCTGATTTCACTGACTTAGTCAGCAAACCATCTCTACTTTTGCTGCAGATAAACACGCGGCTCCGTTTGACGCAGCAGGCTCCGGGCCTCTGCTGCGTCGCCCCAGTTTCACAGCGGCCTGCAGGGAAAATACTGCCAAGCAGTGATTCAGGGCCAGTGCAGGGGAAAGATAGGAGAACTGGTGTGTGTGCGTCTGTGATCTAGAGAAATCTAGATGAGGCAACGGGCAGAGAAGACAAAGTGGCCCGTAGAAGCCGCTGCGAGGAATTGCAACCATAGGGAGCATTTGCAAGAGCCTTTTCAAACCCATTGCATTTGTGCAGAGGTTAAGGAGCATCAAGTACAGACCATGCAACCTCAGGCAGTGAAGGGAGCAGATGCCCCTCAGGTTCTTTGGATGTGGGTGATTGCTTATTATCCCACTGCACCAGGAATAAAATTAACTGTTTCACGTGTCGAAGGACAGAGCACCTACCAGCACCTCCCCAAATCAAAACAGGAACCTCTCCAGATATATGAAAGAGAAGCAGTCAAACCTGAAACTGCATCCCCCAATGCAGCTGTGAGAAGCATGTGCCAGCAGAAGGCTGGGTGTTCAGAAGATAGCTTCATTTCTGAGGTCCTTACTGTTTTAAATAGCTTTTGAACTATCTCAGGGAAATAAAATGAGTTATGAAATTCAATGATCCAGATTGGAGGAAAATTTTGTACAAAATGAAACATACATGTACAAAACAGGCAAAAATAAAGTAAAATTGTAGAGATGTTCAGGGCTGCCTGGGGATGAAGAACCAGTCTTGTAACTTATCATTAATTATTCAGTTTCCATGTTTGCTGCAGAAGGCGGGTGATTAATATCCTTCATTTTTGATAGAAGTATAATATAAAGAGAACTATTAATTCTATTCCTTGAGACAGCAACATGTGACAGCCTTGAGTCAGATGAAAAAGCGAAAGGTTTCACTGAGATTTTTTCTGTAATTTCTCTCTCACATCTTAAATACAAGGACCAAAACCTGGACCTTCAGCTCTGGCTGAAAAGTACTTGATAAAAAGTAAGCTCCAAGCCTTCAGAAATACTGATTATGTATCCCGGGTCCTAAGCTGATCTGGTCCCCCTCAGTTTGATACTTAAATGCATATTTTGTAAGTGCCTCTAAGGAAGATCATCTGGGCTTAAGAAAGGCACTTTTAGTTTCTGTTCAGCTTCTACTATTGGCCAGTGCCATAAGCATAGGAATGGTTTGACTGGCTCTACATTGGCATGTGACATAAGCATTGCTTCCAAATGTCTGGTCCCTATTATCTATATAATGCACAGTTTTTTACACTCACATAATCTCTTTGACTTCTAATATGCTGCAGTGTGTGCCAGTGTATTAGTAGTGGTCATCTGGGATGCTGCTGTTAGCAAGTGCTAGACAGTGAAAAAATGGGAACAATCCAACACTGCTTTCCCTACTGGGTTTTACAACCTGCAACACTTCACCTGCTGAAACATCGAAACTCTAGTCGAGCAAGTGTGTTGAGGCTTAACCTTGTAGAGCTACACAATTCATAAAGCAGGCCAGCATTTTCCTCATTGTTCTGGCTCACAAACTCCATAGAGAATGTTATGACAATTTTGCTAGGAACAATCCTTGGTAGGTGAGATTTGGCCTTTCTGGAGCAGAAACACCATCACATATCCCATATTGGATAATAGTTTCATGTTGTAGATATTCTAGATAACAAGCCCCCTGTTCATCTGAAATTTCCTAACAGAAATGTGGAGTGTGCCAAAAGACTAACTTTCCCTCTCCCAAATTTATCCTCGTGAGTCACCGAATACATTTTACTGAACCAATAAATAGTTAACAGATTTGTGTGGAAGAGCAGTCAAACTGAAGGAGATGCCAAAGGTTTATTTAAAGAGCAGCTATTATAGCCATGTATTTTTAAGAATCCCCACCATTTACTCTTGAACACCACATAGAGCCAGGAAGTATTTTAGTTAGTTTAACCTGAAAGCGCTCTCTCTCATGGGTACCTACATGTGTTGAAGACACCGGCAAAGACCCAGCACTGGCCATATCGCACGGGTTGCTTAGAACTGTAATACTCCAGAAGAATGTCAACACTTCCCGTCCAGGCAGAAGGTGGGACCCCATTAGAGTACGTATTGTCCCAGGATCCAGCAATCACACCATCATCATCCCTGGAGTTGATCTAAAGGCAAAGGAAATGAGCATTAGGGATGTCAGAGACAGAATAATAAAGAACTATTTAACCCAGCAGACAAAGATAGGATGGGAGAGACTGAATATAGCAAGTTTAGGCTAGAAGTAAGACAGAAATGTTTAATTATGAAGGCAGGAGATGAATAGAACAATCTTGCTAAGGGCCATGGATTCTCCATCACTGAACAATTTTGAATGAAGGTCAGACACTTAAAAATAATGGTGAAATTAAATCATCACACTGAGTACCCATGTTGCCAGTCTAGTAAGTTTTATTAACACTAAATATGCTTACTGCTATGTATTTTTAATAAACATGATTAGTTATACACTGATCAGCAAGCCTCAGACATATTAAGCTAGATTCTTTCTTAACATTGCCTGTTTTTCTGTATCAGTCCAGAGATTTTAATAAAATCACTTCTGATTTACAGCAGATTGAGAGGAGAACGAGTCCACTGTTATTTTTAGAGTAAAAACTAATTTCTTCAGTCCAGCACAGATGAAAACAAGAAGGAATTTGCTGTGTAAGTTTTCCCCTGGTAAGATTATACAAAGCAAGAAGTTTTGCTGACTAATGGCTATACTGATAGACATTAACGAGCAATACATCTCCTAGCTGCAATTTGAACCAAACCAGTTGAGGCTGCGCAAAACGCTCATTCGCTCTGTACCTTTTAATTATGCTAATGTGGAACAGCTACACGCCAGCCAAATAAATCACAATTCTCATTTAAAAGCTTTTGGCTGGATTAACTACTTGGTTTATAATTAGAAAATCGACTTGCTGTGAACCCTAGGACTGAATAAAGGTAAGCATTCAGAGTCATAACCAAAGGGTTAAGGGGTTGTGCCCGTCTCCCTGTTGCGGGAAACATGCCAAGAAAAGAGGCACTTCAAAGACAGGGCAGTGTGCTGATCTTCAGGCTCTCCTCTGGCTGCAAAGAGAGGAAAAAAGCAGCAACTCTATCTGCTCTGCAATGTCAGGAAGCCTCAGAAGGATCTCAGCATGGGGGCACCTCCTAAAATGTGCTCAACTCTACCACATTTCAACTTTAGCGAGATTGAAGGTTAGGAACCCGGGTGGGACTTCAACACTTCTTGGCTGTTTCTTACTGAGGTCCAGATTTCAGACAGCCAAAACTCCCACCCAGATATAGCCTAATCCTGCAGATTAGACCTAAAGTCCATTGCCTCCTGGAGTTCCAATGGTGAACGTGTACACCTCCCTAAAATGGTTTTGAGTGGCTCAAAACCTAAGTAATATCCAAGCCCTCTTTGGGCTCATAAGCTTTGTACTATTCTGCCCTTAGGGCTTCGATGGTCCCTGAATGAGGGACCCTTTACATGTATTAGCCCGGTGAAGAGGGAATCACATTCAATTCTTACTTCTATCTGAAGGTCTGAAGCCATATATCTAACGTCTGGGGTGAAAGCAGTAACCAAAAGGTTAAAAGAGAAAGAAAAGTGGGGCTGTTTTCAACACTTGTTCTAAAGCTATTCTATTTAATATGATGCTATGTGAGATTCAGCATGTGACACTGAAACTGGAGATCCCATTTCAACATCATCTAAGACAAAGAACTCATTCTCTTAAAGCCTGGGCAAATACTGTAACGAGTGGGTTAAAAGATCATCCATGTTCAGCAGCCATGTTTTGTGGACAATCTATTTTAGTAGCTGACTTGGGATAATATCTAATGATGCTACCTCAATGACTAGAGTATTATTCTGGGAAGCAGAAGGCATCAGTTCAGACCTCTATAAGGCAGAGGAGAGAAGTCAGCCTTTGCCTTCCATATCCTGGATAAATTTTCCATCCTTAATATTAGGGATGGAGATGCTCCTGCACCCACAGCACGACTCCAGGTGCCTAGGAGCTGGAAAGAATGGAGATGTGGAAAGTCTTCTCCTTACTGTTTGCTTCTGGTTATTTTAGGTACTTCCATTCTGAGTGCGGTGAGTTTTGTGGACCCCATGTTCAAGATGTCAGCTCTCATTGTGTTTTCTTCTGGGGCCAAGGTAGCACACATAAATGTTGTCAGCCTGACTAGGCAATTTGGGGGGCTTAAAAATCAGACACAGTAACACCCATCATTGCAGTGTCTTAAAACCTCGTTGAGTTTCGTGCTGAAGTCCAGATAGTCTCTCAGCTCCTCATCCCAAATTCCACCCATCATGCTGCCTTAGCATCCATGGCATAAACAGCTGTCTCAATTATCTCAGCTCCCAGAAAGTGAGTGCAGTGTCACAAGAAATGTTATCATGCCTGGAATGCAATGTCTAAAAGTGGCTTTCCTACCAGGGAGGTACTATTCTCAGGAAAGGTGATGAGCTGACATAAGTATTTCACCTTTAATGGAGCGAAATAAAATGGCAGACCCCAGAGGTCAGAATGGACAATTGATCTGGCACCTGTTAGAGTGAGCACATTGGGGCATGAGGGCCAGTTAAATGAGTCTGGCTTTGATTTATGAGTTGCTTCTAACACGTATTAGGCACCCATTACATACCACTGCAGAGGCAACACGGCAGATTTTGATTGGGTTTCCACGCCCAGAGAGCTCCAGTTCTGCCTTGTCCATCAGGAACAGGCAAGCATCCAGAATGTTTTCTTCAAACTAGATAAAAAAAACAATAAAAAGGGAAACAGAGGGAAAATTGAGTCACTTTTTATGCTCCAAAGCAAAGGAAAAGTTATTTTTCATTGTTGTTATAATAACTGATCAGCATTAAAAACAGCTGGTCAAGCCAAAGTTCTGTGTTTAAAAAAGTTTTATTCTAGAATAATCACCCATGTATAGCAAAAAAATGTGAGAGGCTGTGAGGCAAAAGAGAGTGTCATTTTAAATTCAATCTCAGTCCAGTTTCCAGAAGGTTAAAATGACAACACAACCTTTCTGACAGGACATAAAATTTTAAGTGCTAACAAGTATATAATAGGAAGATATTATAATAATAACTACAAGAAGCTAGTCTGCTCACGAAGGACTTCATGTCCTTCACAGATTCCAGACCTGTTAATTTCAGGACTTCTCTGACACAGCCAATGTGGTATTGGGAAGTTGAACAATAAATGGTTTGCCAAAGTCTATTTGAAGACACTTACCTTTCAAAATTAATTTTAAAATATATTTAAAATTCACAAGCCAAACACTGATTATATGGGTTAGTCCTGGTCTATGAAACTTAGACATCAAAAATACAAAGTGACCTAAAGTAGTCTTCTTCAAAAATAGAGTGAAAAGGTACAGTTTCTTCAATCCAGCATGAACAAGCACAAGAATGAATTGAGGGCAGAGGTGCCTAAATAGACCAGAAACCATTTGTCACAGAACTTGCCCTGTGATGTATTTCATTTTCCTTAGGAGAAACTGCATAGCAAAGGAAAATACCTCTGTCCCCTGGAAAATGGCAGGAGACGGGGAAACATACACTAATAAAACAAATGTCTTTTAGATTCAGTGAAAACACAATCTTATGTTAATATTCAAGACTATGACAGAACTCCACAGAGCTTGTCCCCTACCTGTGTTAGGCTTTACATTCTACGTTTGCATCATTAAGAATACGATTCAGGCTAACAGAACTCTTGCTCTCATGCTGTAACTAGAACTGGATTGGTTTTGCAGCTGTCCCCATGCTGGCTTAGGGCTCCTTGACAGATGAAGGCAATCTGAGTTTTGCCTCCTGAAGGAAGTTAGCGACAGCCCAGACCAAGCTGCTGATTCAGCAGCTCAGGGAGAGGCAGAGGCGAGGGAAGAGTGAGACCAGAGAGCTGAAAATGAAGCCCTGAATAGCCAAGGCTGCTGCTGATGTGGCAGGGAAGATGGGAGGGATGGGGTTGAAACTCCAGGGAGTCCATTTACCCTTTGACCTCTCCCTTACTGGCATAAACCAAGAAAGCAGAGGCACCATTGTGTTTCACCACCCTCAGCCATTTCCTGCCCAAGGAAAGTCCTCTTCTTTGCCCCTGCCTTGAACCTGCCTGGTTCTCATTGCTCAGGGTACCACCGAGGTATGGCTCCTTTTCAGCAAACATCCTCCAAGGCAGCACACCTCTCTCATCATCACCCACACTTGCACCGAATTACTTCTGGAGTAGATGTTCACTAGTAAGTAACACCTTAGAATCTGAGCAAAACTGAATTCATGGTGCTAGGGCAAGCGAGGAAAGAGAGGACAGGAGGGGACCTGCTCCTAATATTGTATCATCCCTGGGAAGCTGAATAATTGCATGGTAGACTCTCCAATCCACTTCACTAGTATGTGATGTAAATAATCTCAGGTGAACGACCATGCTGTGAAGACCCTTCCTTTCCAAGGAGAATCCTCGCAACAGATAATGTAAACTCTGGGCCCTCATAGCCATCCTTCCTGCTTTAAGTTCACTTTTCTTCTGGTTGGGTTCCATGATTTATCACTTTCACCAGGTTCAAAATCTGCTTTCTGCACTTCAAGTCATCTGCAGTGCCTAAAACCTGAGTTAAATCAATAAGAAGTTTACCCTGCAAATTAAATCTTTCTCATCTACAGTTTATGAGATACTGTCAATCTTGCCAGCATATAGACGAAGAATAAAGAGGAAAGAAACTGCTATCAGGGTTGTTGCCTTCCACCTTAGCATTTACGAAATGACATGAATGCTTGCAAAATAACTGGATTAACAGGAGAAGAGATATAGGACAAGCTGTAAAGTCTAACTGCCGTACACTATTGCAGTAGTGTAGAATGAGGAATAGCCTTAACTCTAAAACCAGTTGTGCCCTTCTTCAATATCCCAAGATTTAAAAACATTAAATAAAACTAAATCAGTTTCCTCCTCTCAATTTTGGCATGAAAATGCTATCTAGAGGTAAGTAGAATAGAAACATAGCACTTGTAAGGCTGAATAGCCTTGAAATGTCAGAGGAACCAGAGCAGCAGTATGTGGCCAGGGCAGGAGAGTGAACTTGGGCCAGTTGCAGTTTGACTGCTCAACACAAGCTGAAATGGAAATAAACCAAATGCAGGACCGAGGAGCTTTGGCAGGGCCACCTGGGAAAGACTACAGATGGAAAACAAGGCACGAGAAAACACACTAAAGGGGTGTTTTCAAAGGGATTCTCTCTATCCTGTCTACACACAGATGTGTGTTGTGCTATGGAGCAACGCATTTAGTTGGGTTGGCCTTCAGTGGGCAGTCTCATTTCACACTAACCTGTTTCTAATAGATGACCTTCCAGTTAAATCAAAGTAAGAGGGTCTGTATCACCTTTTGCACTGGTTGAATGAGGGCTGTATTTCTCAGAGTCAGTTGCAGGCAGATCTGATCTCAATGTTGCCTGATCTGACCAAATATGCATCTGCTGTAAAATTACATTTGCACAGTGGGCAGCAAAGCTAAAACAGCTCAATGTGTGGACATGTGACAACTCACAATGGCAACAAGAACTCTATGTCCACCTGTATTATTTTTTCTCACAAAAAAACAATGTTAAATGATCAATATAGCATCTAACTTCTGACACTTCTCAGCTAGAGAATTCCTATGTGCCTAGAATTCTTCTAAAGCCAAATTTCCCCTGAAACCCTTGTGGGCTTTTCTGAGCATCTGGCTGTTTACACTTTCTTAGAATAAAGGAATCTTAGTCAAGTTACAAGGAATACCTCCATCCTCATTCATAATTACAGCCATGTTTCAACTGGTCTGTTGGATTTTTTTCTTCATTCCATTTATCTTGCCTTTTCTCCTCTCATGTTCATGCTGCTCATTAAAGACAGCAGCTGTGAGAATCATCTCCCACTACTAACCCAGTTTTGAACTGTATGTTCCTTTTTAATTTACAACCTGAGTTAAAGCTTTCATTGTTCAAAGCAATTTTTTAGCCTAAGAATATTACCATATAGCTTTCCCCTCTATGACTGTATGTGGCCTTACACTTTTCACTTACACTGCTGTAGAGGGCTATATATCATAAATACAAAATGCATACTTGTATGATTTATCCATAACATAGGCCTTGCTGCTCATACTTTTACTCACTCACAGCAATGCTCTTCTTAACATCCAGGACAATGAGGAAGATGCTTGTCTTTAATGCTTGGAAATTGTTAGGGTAAGATCAGGAACATCACGTCCTCCATCTCACTGAAAGTGAGGGACCCAGGAGAATATTTCTCCATTGCTGTGTAGTTTGAGATGTCTGTTACACCCATACAAAATGATCGATTCCTTTAAAACTCTTGGCTCAGGCCCCCTTAGGTGCATCTGCCAAACTCAGTTTTCACATAGGCAAGTGACAGCAAAAGGTGCACCACAGTACAGTGTGGAAATCAGGTCCCCAATTTCAGACAACACAGGGATGAAAGTACATGACAAAGGGATGTGGAAAAACCCTAACCTCCCAGCCAGAGCTACCTCCTAGCAAGACCAAATAAATAATGCAGTTTCTGAAGGAAGGCTGGTGTTTGTGTCAGGAAGGTGCCAGATTTGCAGAATATAAGCACATCAGGACAAGCCAGCATAGGCCATAAATTTAGTATCTTAGGACATAAATCCAGCAGCTGGTTTAAGCAGCACCATCCACCTCCAGCCACTCATTCCCCTCTCTCCCTCCCCCTTACATCTGTCAAGAAGTAAATCCCAAATCTAGGAAAAGAGCAAGCCCAAAAAATAGCCCAGTGGAAATAAAAAAACCAAAAAACAACAAAACAAAACCAGGAGATGCTTACTCAGCTAGATCACCTCTCCAGCCCGATTGAGTGCTCAGTTGCACAAGCACTTGCAGGGGGAAGGAAGGGCCAGGAGGGGGCATTTTTGGTCAACTAAAATGCACACCCAGCTTTGGCCTCAGGATCTGCTTCCACATCTCTTATATCAGAGGCGCCATCAGCTTGTGGAATTCCTGCTCCCCTCTGCCTTATTTAAGGGTTATTTTTAGCTCAGTTAGGATGACAGTCAGGCCCCGCAAACAACTGCAGTGACACAACCAAAGGAATGGTGCAGAGGCAGGAACTCCCTAAGGCAGTGCTGCCGCAGGAAAAAGGATGAAATTGTACCCTTAAATAAGGAAACAAGAGAGATGTGAATTCAAAGAGCTCTCCCGGGCAAGCACACTGGCAACCCATCTGGCTCCAGCTTTGAGATTGTCTTGAGCTGAGGGAAGGGAAGCAAAGCAAGAAGGCCTCTTCTGCAAGGCTTTGCTGGGGAGGTGCCACGGAAACCAAATGGATCTGTCACCGCAGTATTAGGGGAATACTTCAATGCTTCCTTAATTGTGCTGTTGTGAAAATCTGGGAGGTGACATGACCAGAGGCCACCATGTCCAATAACTGTCCATTGGAGCCCCTCTGAGTGACAGTTTAGAGTTAGTTTTGCTCGTTTTGATTCTGCTCACTAATGTCTTTTTTCCCCGTTCTCACAGGATGTTTTAACTCTTCCCTCCCGTAGGGATTTTCAGGCTGGTTATGCTTGCAAACAGATCGAGGTAAAATAGGCAAGCAGGCAACAAGATTCTGATGTTACTGCAGACACACCAATGCCACACACCTGCCTGGCTGCAAGAGACCAATGGAGGCTGGTGTTGGCAAGCCCAGGCAGCAAAGGGAGAGTTTTCCCTCCTTCGTCACTGTGGCAAGGAAACTTGAAACCCTGGGATTAAGTCGCAGTTTGCCCTAGGAACCTTGTGGCAAGCTGACCACCCCACAGCCCCGAGCAGATGAGAATAGTTTCCACCAAGTTGCTAGAACTAAAAGGAATCAAAAAGCAATACAACCTACTGCTGAAAAGTGAAAAAAATAATCTCTCTACTCTTTCACCAAAACGGCTTGATCCTGAAGCAGCAATAATGTAGTACCTGAAATACTACTGTGCTGTGGTAATCTCAGCTAATGATTATAACTTTCAACAGGCAGCCTCTTAGTATCTGAAATATGCTCCTAAAACAAGATCTTTAAATATTAGCTATTATAACATTGCTTTTCTGGATTAGGCATATACCCACTTCATACAATTTTAAAATTATTCCCCTTGTCTTTCTGAAGGAGAGACCAATAATGCACTCCAGAGCCCGCAGTCTCAACCACAGTCTGGTGCCAATTAAACTCATTTGCTGTCCTGCTGGGAGCAGTCAGAGAAGGTCTAAATAGCTCACCTGACCATAACTCCAGCTTCTTGATTTTATTTCTTCGATGTTTCCATGGAAAACAATACCAACATCATTCAGGACGTATTCTTCCCTTTCCCTCTCGTCATCCAGATACACGGCATCCTCTGCATCAGATTACCAAAAAAAATTGTTAACACAGTCACTTAAGTTTTTATATAGGACAGATAAAAATTCTTAGCATATAATACAGTCATCTTTGATGAAAAGTACCCCTCTCTCATCAAACTAAGCATTACTTTCTTCAACAGAGTACAAGAATAAGGAGGTAGTGACCCCAGTTAAGAATATGATACACAGTTTAAAAGCATGCAAGATGCAAAAATGCTGACAACTCCTGCCTGTTTTCTCAGGATCTGTGAAGCATGATTAAAATGTCACATCTTATCAAGAATTTTATGATTACTGTGTACCAGTAATTTAAAAGCCGGAGCACCATGACGCAATTCTACATCCGTAGAAACAGATCAAAGAACAATTTCAAACCTATTAATGTTAATGGAAAACAACTCAAGTCAAGACATCTAAAGAAAAATCTGTAGTGCATTAAAAAAATTGGAATACAATGTTTATAGTGTATTAACAGCAGGGTTTGATCGCTTTTTCTGTACATAAGTTATTGACTGTAGTGTCCCTCCCCTATGTAACTTGACTGACCAGCTGATATGAGGAGAAATTCAAGTGTCCAAGTGAAAACTGGAAGTAATTGGAAGAGATCTTTATCAAACCATATACAAATGGTATATCCTAGACTGGTCTTATATCAAGAGCATATATGTGGCCCCTCACCCTGCAAACATGATTCACAAATTTAAATAACTCTTCATTAATATTCATAAATAACCCTGAATGACATGAAACTATTCAGATACTCACAACTAAGTATGAAGCAGGTCGTGATTTTGTGATGCTAGAACAGTTGAGGATTTTTCTTCCTCTGCCAATGTTTGTATTTTGAGACTAAGAGATACAGTGTAACAATTAATAGTGTGGGAATTAATTAATTTGAGGAAATCAGTAATGTGATACCAGATAGCAAATTAAAGGGAAGCAATAACCTCTGATAGCTTGATATGGGCAACTACAAAACTACCACTTGCTACTGGCATAATGGATTTTTTCACCATCTCACTACAAATTACTGGAGGATCATTTCACTTTTAAAAGCCTATTGATTTGTTGTATTTTGTTGAAATGCAAATCAGATTTGTACTTCCTTGTAAACCTCATCCTCAAAAACTTCTTTGTCCATAAAACTGTAATTTGGCTCAAAATAAGCAAAATCTGAGCCCTCTGAAAAAACAAAACCAAACCAGAACCAAAAACAATGGCAAAACTCACACTGGCTTCAGCTAGGTGATGGGTTTTGCCAGTCTACATGCTTGATCCTGCTGGAAGTTTTGTTTTCTCTGAAGAGATATTTATATCTCTATGTCTATGCATACAGAAAGGATTAAGCATAGATATGTAACAAAATGACCTCCACACCGGTGTGCAAGGAATGATAGGGAAGCAGGTATTAGATGTAAGAAAGCATTTGAGGAGAGCAGCGCTTGCCATTATGCTTTTGACAGAGTTGCTGTACAGGCTCTGCAGCCTACATCCGAATTTGAGCAATCGGAAAAGTGACAGGTTTCACAGGGTTTTCCCTGAGGTGGGCAGCTCTGAAACCTGCGCTTGCATTTGGTGGGATGATGGTGTTCACCCAGTTTCTAAGGTCATCAAGAAGTCTCTTGCTAGGGTTGTCACTACCCATGACCTAGTCAACCTGCACAAAGTGGAAGATTATATGTTCATTATATTCAGAGGCTGCCAGGTGAAAGAGAACATTAAAACTTGACAGCGAATCAAAAAGCTGTAGTCATTTATGCCAGCAGGGACTCTCACACTTATGAAACTATATTACATGACTTTTTTGAGGTCCAGCTCCCAGCTATAAACAAATTCTGTATAACATCCCACCAAAAATGTTGCAGATGTTACACATCATGAAGGCTCTGTTTCATTAGGCTGGATCTGCCCGATTTGCTGATTGAACAACTATATGCATTCACTCACTGAGCTTTGGATTTTATTGAAGCACATCTGCACAAATGGTACAGAGAATGCATTTAAAGGAGAACTCACACCACCTTCTGCACAGTTACATATTCAGTGGAGTGTGTATGTATGCCTTCTTGACAGCTGTTGTTTTCTTTCAGGGATTAAAAATATCAATATTGATCTGGTTGGTATCAATTGAGATGCTTATGTTATTTTGAGACTGCGTGATCTTTGCTAAATCAGATGAAAATTGATTAACTTCTCTGTCAATTATTTTAAAATATTTGTGGTTTTTTGATAAAGTAAAAAAGGCTTCTGTGTTTCATAGAGAAGCCAGCTGCTTTGATTTTTGACAGCTTTCACTACCCTTGAGACTGTTTAGAAGAAAATACAAGGCATTTGCAACTACTTTGATGCTAAGCGTGCTCTACATAGTACAACTCCTAATTATTTTGTGCAAGTGGAGGCTCATGTCTGACAAACAGAAGAATTCCACGGAAATGTGCTGGGTTCGTTTGTTCTTTTTCTCTAGCAGTTGAGGGGTTCTTTTACTCACTTCTTTTATCCTGGGAAATTACGAAGACACTAGCAATGCTACAAAGAAGCAAATTAGCCTCCATGCTTCTCTGTTTGAAGATGGATAAGGTGAAAATACACTTCACTTGAAGACAGTACTGCAGGTGAGGAATCCCACTGAACATGGGCACCTTGTAAAAGAGATGAGGAGTGCAGAAAGGCCCTTTCAATTTGGGAAAGTGAATGAGCATGAGAGGACCCTACTCAGTACAGGGGGGGAGCCCATCCCCAGCACAACATCTGGCTGTGCATCTCCACCTGTGAGAGACACACGCACGTCAATACAAGGTCTTTTCCCGAGAAACACTGAATGCTCCCCAGCAGAAAGTTGCTGGGGCTCAGCACCTCCTTGGAAAGAGCTCACACTATCCAGATCAAAGGAGCCCTTCTCTGCTTTTATGTAGTCTGATACTGCTAAGAGTTAAGTTAAACTCCAAGAAGTTATCCTTAACTACTTGCCATTTTTATCTTCTGTTTCACAACTGAAGAGGGCTCTGCATGCCCAAAAGCACACCTGTTTTTCCCAGCTGTGTCAGCTGGCTGAAGAAAGGATGCTGCCTCTTCTCACAGGCTTTACTTTGCTTATTAAGTAATGCAAATTCACCTGAGTACCTGAAATTTCCACTAGCTTGCTGAATTCTCAGATCTTTGGGGCTGGTATATATAATTTTGCAGGATCAGGCCCTGCATCCGCATCTTTAAAGTATAGTTGGTGGTAAACCTTAAATGCAGTTAAAGGGATTAAAACACGTAAAAGCATCTGATGATTTTGGAAGCAAAATACTCTGTTGCTTGACTGGTAAAGTATTCAAACTTGTTCTGAAACAGCAGAAACAACCACACATCCCAGGCTGGGAAGATATGTCAAAACAGAACTATAGTGAGAAAAGGAGTAATAAGAAAGGGCACAAATGCCTCTGTCTTAAAGAAAAGCTTATACTGACACATTGATGTTTCTCCAAAATGATGAGTCGGAAAGCTGCACTAGACACTGACAGAGCCCGTACTCCGCTCCCCGTTATAACAATCCCCATTCATTCCTGGCATCAGCCTTCTCTCATTTTAATGAGGCTTTTCACTCAGACTTTTCTGCTTAGCTATTAACCCAGCAAACAAGTCTAGAAGATTTTCAAGCTATTGTTTTCTCTGCACTTTAACTGCCTGAGTTTTTATACCCTTTTGTCACTCTGCTGAACAATCTTTTCCAGCTAGGGGATAAAGCATGGAGAAACACTCCCTGGTTTTCTAATGCAAGGAAAGAGGGAAAAGGGAGATATAGGAGCCAATTAGCCTAAACTACCTAGGAGGAAAAGTAGGAGCAAGAAATGAGAATAAATCCAAATCCAAACGAAACATGCAGAAAACGAAAATGACAATAGTCAAAAAGGGCCAGTACCTGGAGTCCTCGAGACACACCTGAACATGTAAACTGGAGACAAAAACCGTGGTCCTCCACAGGTGACCCCAAGTTGCCTCCCCTGGGCCTGGGGGTACACAGCACATCCTTGCTGCCCAGAGACTCTCTTCTGCTTTCCTGAAGCAGAGCTTTTTCATCAGCCTTGCCGATGGCTGCTGCCAGAGGCAGCTGCTTCATGTCTTGCTCACTATGGGCTTACACCCACCCTGTGGTTTTAATCTTGTTGGCTTTTGGCCCCATTCAGCTCAGGTGTGAGGGAGGGAGTGCACAGGAGAGCAAAGTTCCCATGTGCAATGATCAGGTGTGGACCAGTCAGCACACAGAGCTGGCGGGGAAGGAGGTGAGAAGAAGGGACTGATTCTCCCCTTCCAGTCCCTGACTAGCACCTTGAATCAGCCTGTGTGGTCCCAGTCACACCACATTGGGACAGCCAAGCCCCTCACATAATTTTTTTTTCTCCATATTATGGCTGCATACAGCCCTAGCTGGTTGTATGCTAGTTATAAGGCCACCTGAGGTAATTTAAGAAGTTTTTTCTTTGGGGCTTATCCCTTCCAGGAGGTGCTGAGCCACTGCACAGTCACCGCACTGGCTAACAAACTGGCTGTTATGACACTCATGACTAAAGCCAAGGGATGCTCTACCTTGGGGTGGAGAGTTACACCACTCTAGCTGGAGCTGTGACAGGCTGATGACGCCTTCACAAACCTTGAGCAGTTTTGTCTGCTCACAGTGGGTCATAACTTTGGCAGTGTTTCCTCTCTTTCCATTAAACACTCTCCCTCGTCTCCCAGAATAAACTCTTAGCATGCTGCTAAGAGGCATCTACCTCTACACTGCTTTCAGAAGCATCTCATGGTGTCATGGGGCCTTGGGCCCTGCCCTTCCCTCTTGTTCCCACTTAACTAACTCTGCTTTACTCAGCATTAACATATATCTTCCTAAATAATTCATAAGCTAATCATTGCTTATATTCCCTTGGACCAGGGGCAAGTAATGAATTCAGCACAAATCATTCGATGTACTGACAGTAGTGCAGCTGAATAATGGAGTCTATTAATAATGCTAAACTTACTCGTCACTTGGTAGGATGGCTCTTGTTTGGTACGGGATTATTTGATGTAAATACTCTGGTAAACATATTGAAAGATAAAGGGAGGCTGGCGGGAAAATATTAAAGTTACCTGGTGAGCTGAATATATAGCAATGTGTATGCCAGACTTGGAGCCTTGCAAGTGTTGGAGGCTGAGACACAGCGCTACAGCCTGTCAAAAGGCTGAGCCAGACCTCTGCAGTCCTCCTTGCCCTCCCTTTAAAGCCACACTCAGAGCTTGTTGGGTGAAATACAATTCTGTCAGCGTAAGGGCAGATTTCACGCGGGATCCAGGGAGACTAAAAAAAAATGAATTGTTCTTCAACCCACTGGAGTATAAAAAAAGGCTCATTTGCGAAATGTTCTGTTCCTCACAGAAAACAGAGTTGCCAGTAATTAGTCACCACTAAAGGGGAAGTAATAAGGGCAAATATCATGCAGCAGTGAGAAGGCACCACCAGTGATGCCACAGCAGGTCGGCTGCATCTGACCTGTGCAGGAGCAGCAGCTCCCGTGGAATTCCAGCAGGCTTTTAGCTGCAGATGTTCAATCCTAAATGTGGCAGTCAGTAATATAACTCAACAGAGTATGGGACGCTGCCACATCCTGCCCTACACCAAAACCCAGAATAAAACATACCCGTATTGACTTGTCAGTTCAAAGCAAACACAGGCAGGCAGGAGGCTCACGCTGATGCCTGTTAAAGTCAGAGCAAAGTCTTGGTGTATATTTACTATGAGAAACGGAGCATCATTGTGCTGCCTGAGCCTGTAAGCACAGGCTTGGCCTCATAAAACTGCAGGGTGCAGCTACAGCACAGGCACAGGTCTGCAGCATGGAGCCCCACTCACACAGGGCTACTCCCCAGCCTGAAAGACTTGCCTCTTGGCAGAGCTCCTGTATCATTTCCAGGCCCCAACTGGCTTGTCTCCAATCCCCTTGGTACTAAACTCCCCTTCCTGGTAGGAAGTACCTAGCAAAAACTGATGAGCCCAGCAGCAGAAAGTGTGAAACTCCTGACTTTAATAAGGTGGTACTCACGCTGGCACCAGGGATTGAAGAGGATGTAAGTGTCAGTTGCCGAGTTTCTGTGTGTCCGAAGGATGCCAAAGGGAGTCCAAACGGCAACGTACAGGCGAAACTTCCCAATGATGCAGGTGGCAGAGGACATGATGGACAGGCGAATGGAGTTGTTCTCCCTGTGGGTAATCTTGGCTCCCCACTCGCCGGGTTTCAGCACATTCCTGATTGGGATCGGGATGTAGGTGCCTTTGTTTTGCTGTGGGTAGCGACCTGGAGAGAGAGGGGGGATAATTCCATGAAGAGGTTCACTTTGTTTTGACAGTCCCTTTATTTCCTGGCAGTCCTCCATCCCTTTGTCTATTTTCAACGGAGGTGGCAAGCTTTAAGTGGGTGGAAACCACCTACCTCCCACATTGCTTCACGCAGTGCCTGGTCACTTGGCAGTACAGCCACACGAATACATGCAACACCTCCCAGCAAGGCAGCCTGTGCAGACATCCCACCCACCTCGCTCCAGCAAGCTCAGATCTTGCTGGCTCGGAGTGTAGCCCTGTCAGCGTGAACAGAGGCTGTCCCAGGTTTTCTTTGCTCACCACTGTTTATCCTAGTACAGCAAGCTGCTCTCCAGCTTACTCCATGCCGTGGTGTCAGCTATGCTGTTGGTAAGTGTGGGCCTCCAGTTCAGATGCCCACCCACCACCCTCATTGGTAGCTCACAAGTGCCCACTGGGGCATAGAGCTTGGCTTTGGCACTCTTCGGCAGAGCAGAGCCTCATGTCACTACACCACTGCGCCGAGAAGCAAACACCAAGTGCTCTTTCACACAAGTCCACACAGATGGAGGAAATACAAGTCAGTCCACCAGCAGATACCCAACACTCAGTTCCTCCTGAGCGCCTGCTCTTCACAGATGGAGTGGAAACCAACTCTGGACATCCAGAGTATAGATGAGCACATCTGGGCGGGATAGCCAACCTTTCACTGCAAGCAATAAGACCCCAAAATATGACACACCTCCAAAGCAGTGATAGCCTGCCTCATAGCAATACAAATCCCATCCCAGAGAAGCCTATTTTATTCTGCCAACTATAGAAAGCATCTACACAGACAGGCTACATATAAACATGTATACTGCCAGGATTCAAAGTTGTGTGAGGATCTACACCCTTTGAGCTGGAGGTAGAGCCAAACTATATCTGAAAGCCAACCAGCACTGTAGACAGAAAAGACATTTGTGAGAAGGCTGAGTTCCTTATCTCATCCTCAAGTCTATTCTTCATTTCATATTTTAGGCTGGAAGTCAGACTCTCTCATTCAAAAATCGGGTAATGAATGGCAGACAGAGAGACAGACTTCTATATCTTTCATTCCTACTATTTAAGAACTTCAAAATTAAATTCACAAGGGCGTTGATTTTCCTGCTTGCTTATTTTTATACAGCTGATGCAGAGATAATCCCAGATCTGAACACTGCTACATTCTGGGAAAGGACAACTGCAGCTTTGACTCTGAAGCTTGCAAGCTGCTACAACATCAGTGTTTCTAAGAAATCTGGGACTACTGTACTTCATCCAAGAGATTATTTGGTGCACATGAATTTCCATTTTGCAGATGTTCAGTGCACATAAATAGCCCACTTTGCCCTGTCAGCCAGGGATGTTGCAACCCACGAAACCCATTCAGATCAGTGAGGGACACAACAGAAGGAAAAGATCTACAGAAGAAAAAGGGACTAGAATAAGAGAGCAAAATCAATAGAAAACACTAGAAGATAAAGCACTGGACACTTCAAATATAAGCCATCAAAGGAAAGCCAATGTAGAGAGAAGAGCCTATAGAGGTAACAGAGATGAGAGTCTTGCGCCTGCTAACAATTGTGATCTGAGAGCTGAACATGCTCTTGTTCTTTGTAGTGCAACTGGGTATGACCCAGCTTGCCTCTGCAGTTGATATTTTGCTTCTAGTTTTGACATAATTGTTTTTTTAAAAAAGCAGTCCATGCAAACAAAGCAGCAGAGCAAACCAAGTAATTGAACTGACATCCTTGAAAACCGTTAACAAGTGCTACTTTTTAAAATACCTCCCTTATTTTCTTCAGAAAGTTGGAAGCAGGGAGAGTGCTATTTTAATGTGGTTAGGAACTGACGTTATCATCTTCACTGGAAGCTGCATGTTGGTGTAGGAGGCTATTGGGGACATAAGGACCTGTGCTGTGGCAGCAGCTTTGCAACACCATGTCCATGTGCACTTCATGCTAATGGGGAGGCTGCAGAATCACTCCCCAGTAAATCTGCCTATAGGAACCAGTTAAGATCTCAAAGACGCCATGAGGCCTTTGCAAGACATCCTTATGGAAACCCCATCACTGGCATCTCATAGCAGGTTTAATGAAGCACCAAGCCTCTCTCACTTTTATGAAACCTCAACATGCAAAGCTTCATTTGCCCTTTGAAACAGAAGTCCCTCTTGCATGCGAAGCCACAAAACAGCCTAATATACCTGTTGCTTGACAAGAAAGTGCCTGTAGCCTGTGCGTGTCCTACACAGCTGCTCCCATGCAGTAAGAGAGAGAGGCCACTGTGCTGTATTTCTCACCCATGAGGAGAAGATGCTCTGGGGTATTGCCTGGATTGCTGCTAACATAACAAGGATGCCAGGGAAGGGATATCCTAGAAGTCAGGATAATTTGCAGATGTTAAACAGTAAATACAAGAGGCCATTGTTTGCTTCTGACAGACAAGCAGGGTTTGGTGCTCACTAACAGTTGTATAAATCCTGAACCCATGAGGAAACTTGGGAAGACGGGTAGAGCACTAAAGAGCACAGTGAGCATTATCCAATGTTTTCTTCAAGGAGAAGACAGGTTCCCTCATCTTCTGAAACAGAAACCAAAATATAAATGGGAGAGCAAGGGAATTGTTAGTTCTGACAGGAGCTTATGGAGCTGAATTGTAATCACACATCTAGTCACCTGACAGCACCAGCCACACTAGTCTCATATACACACATCTGTTCTCTTGATACTAGAGTACTATAAAGATGAATAACTTTGGCATTACATGCTAAGGTTGCTGGCAAAAGAATCCTTATGTTGGTTCAGAACTGTGTTTATCAACATCGTAGGGAAGTCCTCTCAGGATGGCTTGGCCATTTGACTTTTATCTACATCTTGAGCACATATTTCTGGCTGCAGTGGAAAAGTGGGTCCAACTTTGGCTCATAGATAGGATATCTGTAATGTCAGCCCTTTCTCAGAAGGACTAATACGCAATGGTGATTTCATTCTCTGGGTTAGAGTCTCTAAAGAAGAAGATTCAATGCTATCCAAAGACTCATGGCCTGCAAATGCCTAGCAGAGAATTCTCTGCAGGTTACCTGGTGCTAACCCAACCCACAGAGAGGCAGGAGGGTGTTTGGGTGCATGTCAGGACCAGGAGCCATGTAGAGAGGATAAACTCTTTTTATGCTGAGAGGATGGTGCTTCTGCCAGCAGCATCAGCTGGCTCAGGATCCCTCTCACTCCGATTTGCTCCAAGAGCTGGCAGCCTGAACCATGCTCTGCAGCCAGTTCTTTGTGGTTGCCTCACTCCCTGATGCTCACGTGTGCTTTGGGTGTAGGAGGCCCTGGCCCTCACTCGAGGACATTTCACAGCCAATTGCTCTGTGAAATACAAAGTCATTGCGTGACATCACACTGTTGGGATGTCCCCGTACGCTCTCTCTAACAGCACATGGACATGGGAAAATCCAGCCTGAGAATTCGGAGAGCCTGGAGGTTGCTGCCCTGTTACCACCAGGAACAGGGTGAATTTTTATGGGCTCCTTTTGCAACTCAGAAGATATCAGGCAATGAATGGGGACTGCTGACTCTCTTGCCTTTGAGGCAGGAGAGAATTCACAGTGGCCCTCCTTCATGGGCCTCCAACTCTTTGCATTTCAGTGCTAGGTACTGAGCCACGGTATTGCCAGAAGACATTATGTTTACAGAAACCTCCCTTATACAGGAGGTTTAATGGCCCAAACATATTTTCCCTGCTTCACAGCGCACAGGCCTGCAACCCTTTGGTACTTCTTTCTTATCCCATTTTGGTTGCTGTAGCTACCCAAGCTGTGCTCCTTAAGCTCCTGCCCACTTCTGTAGCAGTTCAGCTCTGCTCTACACCTCCTGGGCTTTCCAGGCACCCAGGAAAAGAGGAGAAAAATAGTTGCTGCTGCTATTAAAGGAAATCAGCCTTCCCTCAGTGCTGCATCACAAAGTTTTGAAAGTAAGTAGACATGACTGAAGGCCATCATGACTGAAACTCCTGTGGGTGTGAGCATGTCTGGGATGCCCCCCGTCACACACACACACACTTTACAGGGACAAAAAGCAGAGTGCAGTGTTGGTTAAAGCTTGCCAAAGTCTTAGTTACGCAGTAGCAAAAGGATAAGCCATCTAAAACACAGAACTGTAGCCACACACACATGCATTCGAAGTGAGTTATTTTTAACACATGCCTCAGCTCCTTATCATGTCAGTTCTGGGCTCATCAGGCACGGAGGAAAGCTGTGTTTAATTCTATGTAAAAGTGCCACACCAGAGAGGGATTTACAGCAACAGAGGGAGAGCGGGAGATAGGTACAGCAAGTTCAGTCGGCAAAACACGAGCATTCCTCCTCCAGTTACCCAAGTTTGCTGTTTTTCCTTCCAAGTGACTAACAGGGACCTGGGTTTGCTCAAACCACCCTCTTCCTCCTCCACTGCCAGTCCCTGAAAGCCCTTATCTCCACCTAGTTTAGTTTTTCCCTCGATCCCCAGAGGATATACATGCTGCTGTATGTGTTTGTGCATTAAACAACTCCTAAATGCCACTGCAGAGTTAGCACAGCCAGTGGAGGGACCAACAGGCACTCTTGGATAGGCCCTCCACAAGTGAGAAGATGTTTTGCTTTAAGCAGGGAGGAGGGGAAATTTTGCAACACAGAGATTAGAAATATAGTGAGCTTCAGAGGACAATTCCTCCCCGATAGAAGTAGGATACCTCAGAAGAGAGAGAGGTGAACAAAGCTATTTCTCAATAGTCTATTTAGGAACTCTCTTTAGCAGATTGTTTTTTAAAGGAGTTGAGGAATTTGTCTCCCTTTGGGACACAGATTACACACAGTAAAGTTTACAATTTTCCTGTTAGGTTCATTTGTTTTACCTAGATACACTCTTTCATACAAAGGGTAAAGAATCTGTTTCAATGCCAGGCCTGGAAGTATAATAATTGTGGCAGGTTGATAAATAA